CACGCTTTTTATAGAAAACCAAACTAAAAAAGTGGAGAGGAGAGAAGGGGATGTATTTTGAAGGGACCTCAATGCAATTATAAAATTTTTGGGGGGTATTGTATGTGGATGTTATTACATTAATAAAAATAAACTGGTCTCCCCCCTTTGTCATGTCAAAGGAACACCCTACCTCAAAAAAAGTTCTGCTATTCATCGATAGATGGCAAAACTAAAAAGTATCACCGCTGTGCCGGTCGTAGTGGGAGGTGTTAGGTTATTTTCGTTACGGAATTTCTGTGTTCGGTCTCCACGCTCAAGGCCCGCGATAGAAGCTATGCAATAGCTTAAAAATAGAAAATAAATTTGAAAAAGAAGCGTTGGGTGCCTGTTGTCAATAGTAAAGTAAGTAAGTAGTTTATTTTTCTATAAAAAGCGTGTTTTTCAGTTTTTTAAACTATTTTTTTTTAATTAGTGTATTGTCATCGGTCCTCGATATATCAACAAAGTTTGAACGAATTCCGACAGTTTAAAGTCAGTCAAAATCACGCCCAAAGGAGTCGGTTACAAACAAACATATAAACATCTGTCCGTGTGGTGACGGATTAAGAATACAAATTGTCACCACCCCAATTCATCCCGTGGGTGTCGTAAGAGCCGACTAAGGGAGCAAACTAAGCACGACAACAGCACTGCAAATTGAAGGAAAACTTGAAACAAACCCTATACCAACCCGTCTGGCCAGCGTGGTATAGTAGGCCAAAACCTCCTTTCTAAGGAGAGGCCTATGTCCAGTAGTGGACTAGTATAGGCTGTTGATGATGATGATGATATAAACATACAAGTGAAGCTAATATAAAGCGTGTAAAAAGATAGTGGTTTTCATTACTTATATTTTTTCAAGGGGGTTTGAATCTATAATAAGCTTTGAAGATTATGTTAACAAAACAACTACTTCTTAACATACCTATTAAAACACATAACATGGGCGCTTCTCAATATTGCGTCAGACACCATGGCCCTGTTGTGTTTTAGTTGCTAGGGTTGCCACAATTTTATCATCAGGTACGCATTTTCGTCCGTGTGGTGACGGATTAAGAATATAGACTGTCACCACCCCTGTTCATCCCGTGGGTGTCGTAAGAGACGACTAAGGGAGAAAACTATACGCAGAACAACAGCACTGCAGAGAGAAGGAAAACTGAACACAAGCCCTATACCAACCCGTCTGGCCAGCGTGTTATAGTAGGTCAAAACCTCCTTTCTAAGGAGAGGCCTATGTATAGAAGTGGACTATTAAAGGCTGATGATGTGATGATGAAAGCGTTTTCGTTTTCAAAATACACTTTATCGTATATTCTTAGTGGGGAATGTAACGTCGCAGCGACGTTTTCGTCACGCGAGCTTTAATAAACATACATGAAGCGGACACAAAGAGCACCTTGACTCAGAATAACAATTTGTGGATCACACAAAATGTTGTCTCATTCGGGGATCGAACTGACAGCACTCAGCGCAGTAGAAATCGGCGAGGTGACCGCTTACACTGCTACACCATCAAATATAGTCATGCCTAGCGGTTTTAGAACCGGTACGGTGCTCGAAACAGAATACTTATCGATCTTCTATCTCTCTCCGTTTTACTTTTTTTAGACAAATAATATATTATCATCATCAACAGCCTTTAATAGTCCACTGTCTGGATATAGGCGTCTCCTTAGAAGGCATGTTTTTATTATTAAATAACACTACTATAAATTTACGCTAGTGTAATTTAGTCTAATTATTGTCTAAGATCTATGTTAAACTGAAATTCCTACACTGTAATATTTATTTTGGTCAAATAAAAAAAAAATATTAAAATTATTATTATTATATACCATACTGACGGGTACACAGACAATTTTTTTGCAGTGCTGTTGTTTCCTCTCTTATTCTTCAGGTCTTTCGACACCCACGGTAAACTTAATCTGTCACCACAAGGACCTATAATAAATACAGTTACCACAATTATTTTATTCGTTACGTGACAACCCTACATAGCCTCATACTGATTATACGTTATTAAAAAAATATTTAAAATTATGTGTTTAAGCAAAGGTTAAATAATTAATGTCTTCCATGTATTAATGCGTATTTAAATTACATATTGATTACTTTGTACTTTGCTCTGATGATTACTAAGATAGCTAATTTTTAATAAATTACCTAAAGACTGGGAGAGGTTGAACAATATTGCAAACAAAAATCACTTTAAAATCTTGTCATCAACAGCCTATACTAGTCCACTGCTGGACATAGGCCTCTCCTTAGAAAGGAGGTTTTGGCCTACTATACCACGCTGGCCAGACGGGTTGGTATAGGGTTTGTTTCAAGTTTTCCTTCTCTTTGCAGTGCTGTTGTCCTGCTTAGTTTGCTACCTTAGTCGGCTCTTACGACACCCACGGGATTAATTGGAAAACTTGTACAAAAGGTAAACTATAGTGTTACAGATTGACTGACTGCACGGATGGCGTAGTGGTTTAAGCGATCGCCTCACCGCTTCCTACTGCGCTAAGTGGTGTGGGTTTGATCCCCACATGGGACGACACTTTGTGTGATCCACAAATTGTTGTTCTGAGTCTGAGTTTTCTTTGTGTATGTTTGTAAAGTCCCCCGCGACACAGGATTTAATCTAGTGCGGGCGTTGTCTATTAAAAAAAAACATTTTTTTTGAGAGATTGTATTCAGTAATTACTTAAATAATACACAGTTTAAGGGACGTCGTAACGTATACTGAAATAGTGTATTCAGACCAACATTCTGAATCGAAAATCATGGGAATTTTCTGCCGGAAAATTAAGCTTTTTGTGCAATCAGCTGTCGAAGGTAAAGGTCATTTTCCGTAGGTGTTGCACAAAAGTAATAATTACATGTGTATTCAGCGCAAACAATCTACGCAAACTAACACAAAATGGCGGCCGGAGGGGAGGCCCCGCGCGCTTCGACTCTATGATTAATTACATTGCAGTTTTTGACCGTAACTGGTATTTATTAATTTGTTTTCATTGAAATGTTCTGTTTACTCATTTTGATATCATTTTTAACCAAAAAAAAATGGAAAATTATAAAAAAAAAAAGATTTTTTCCGGCAGAAAATTCTGATGATTTTCGACTGAGAATCATGGTCTGAATTCACTATTTCATTATTCATTACGATATTCCTTAAACCCTCTTTTTTGTTCATTATTATTTGTGTATTTCTCATATATAAAATTCTCGTGTCACAATATTCGTTCCCGTACTCCTCCGAAACGGCTTGACCGATTCTCATGAAATTTTGTGTGCACATCGGGTAGGTCTGAGAATCGGCCAACATCTATTTTTCATACCCCTAAATGGTAAGGGTGACCCATCCCTAATTTTTTTTTGTTTTGCAACACAACGTTTGCCGGGTCAGCTAGTTTAATTGTAAAACATGCATTCACTTCTATTTTATTTATTTGTATAGATTATGTAAATAACACCTATACAAAGACTAAAATTTTAGTCTCACTCATGTAATAACCAGTCTATTGCCGTCAATTGAGTGGACTTAGGAATTAGATGGTAAAATTTATAGTGTATTGTAAGGAAAGGTTAATAGGAAAGGAAAGCAAAATGGTAGGAAAGGGATGTCGCTTTTAATGCACGCTTTTAGACTGCACGGATGGCGTAGTGGTTTAAGCGGTCACCTCGCCGCTTCCTACTACGCAGAGTGTTGTGGGTTCAAACCCCACATGGGACGACACTTTGTGTGATCCACAAATTGTTGTTCTGAGTCTGGGTGTTCTTTGTGTCCGTTTCATGTATGTTTGTAAAGTCCCCCGCGACACAGGAATGTATTCCTAATGCGGGAGTTGTCTTTTAAAAAAAATAAAAATAACAATAATAATAGCCAAGAGCCCTAACCACCAGTAGTGTATTGGTCCCTGTACCCAATTCAATTGTGTACTAAAAGTACCAGGAGAGTATTAGGACCGAGGTGATATCTACATAGAAGTTAATTCTACCTGGTTCTATTTATACTACCCTTAGAAAACATACACACAACAGAAAACATATTATAGAAATCAAACATAGCTCACGTAGGACCCGTAATATTTGTGGCCGTGGTGCTTCCCTGTTTAAAAGGGTGTATGCCCATTTTACTTCATTTTGTCTCCCGCTTTGCTAAGGAGGGAAGTGGATTTACTGTATTTCCAACTCCTCCAATTTTCTTCTGATTATAATTTCGTTGCGGGTTCCAAGACAGTTTAATTTCTTCCTGGGACTTCCCGAGTGTCATAACTCGGTGTGTTCGTGGGTCACTGCTGTGGATCCTGGTGTACAGGAGTTACAGTGGTGGGCGTGTGGGTGGGATTAGTCCCATACCCTTAGAAAAGAGGGACTCGTGGCTAAGTGGTAACTGAGTATGTTAACACATTGCAAAGTTAAGCAATTGTAACCGGGTCAGTTTATGGATGGGTCACATCAAGAGGTCCAAGGTCCAAGTTGCCATACAAACAGTTTAGGCAATCGTTACGGGTAATTGGAGTCCTAAAAAGTCCGACAAGTCTTTCTACTGAACTTCGATATCGCCTAGTACTTGGGTTGTGAAGGTCTGATGGCATTCGCTCCAAGTAAAAATTGAAGTTCCGCCCTATCTTAATAAACTGAAAACCCGACCCCCAATCTAGTTTGGGAAAAGGCTCCGTGGATGATAATCTATACAAATAAATAAAATTGGAGTGTCTGTTTGTAATATTAAAATAACCGCTTTTTACTAAATGCATATGTATGTTTACACGGTACATATGCCAAAATAAAAATTTTACAATTTTTGTTTGTCTGCCTGTCTGTTTATTCCGGGTAATCTCTGGAACGGCTGGACCGATTTCGACGGGACTTTCACTGGCAGATAGCTGATGACATAAGGAGTAACTTAACGGTTATATCAACAACCGCGGATAACACCGCGGGTCTCAGCTAGTGTAAAATAACATCTGATTTTTTTTTCAGTAATGTCGAAATTCGGTGTCCGAGTGGACGCAGCGGTGTCTGCGCTCGGCGGCGGCGCCGGCGCAGCTCTTGACGAGAACGACTTTATCGACGCATCACGATTGGTTTACGACGCAGTGCGCGAGATACGCAGAGCTGTGCTAATGAACCGGGTAAGTTTGCATGAAATTATAAATTTCCTTAAATATATTTGCATTTTTAGCACTAAACGGACTAAAATAATTATCGACTCCCATCTCGTCGTGGGAGAGCCAATCCTCGGCACTAATGGGCCGCCGCCACCGGAGTGATGCCATGGCCTCACTGTAAACCTGTGATGAGCAATCTTTTTAGCTCCCTCCTGGTTCTTGGAGAGGTGAGGAGCTGATTTGTCTATTCGTTTGCCCTTTTATAATCAAGAACTTGAAGGGGTGTAGTATGATATTTTCTTTTTTGTCCAGCTAACTTTATTCTACAGAGACTTTTAAAGCCATCTGAAATTACTTGCGTATTTCGAGAATTCCCCTCTAGTTCTCGACGCAACAGCGACTATCATGTGACACGACCGGGCCTTGATACGAATGTACGGATGGCGTAGTGGTTTAACGCTGAGTGTTGTGGGTTCGATCCCCACAGGGAACACGCTTTGTGTGATCCACACATTGTTGTTCTGTATCTGGGTGTTCTCTGTGTCATGTTTGTACACAGGATATATTACTAGTACAGGTGTAGTTTTTAAATAAATATTTTTATAATCTAGGATGAAGAAGAATTGGATCCTGAAGATGTGGAATTAGACGAGCACTACACTCTGGAAACCAGAAGCAAATGTGAGGGCAACCATTTGTTGTTTACAACCATCCTTTGGTTGCCTGTCTGTGTGGTTGTCGAACATGTTGTGTTGTGTTTTAACATGTCATTTATAATTAGGGTTTAGCTTGAGTTTTTTGGCTTTTTAATTAACAATTTACGAATGCTTTGTGAAATTATAACACACATAAAATTACCGCAGTCCAGCCATACCACGGCAGCTATAGGCCTAATTAACCGGAGTGCTACCACAGCCACACAGAAAACGGGTATTATACAAATCGTTTGTTGATTTTCACCAAGAGTTGTGTGAGGTTACTGGTGGCAACAGCAGAGGTGCCAACGCACTTGTGATTCCTGGGTTGCAGCTGTCTCTTAGTGGGTAGTAGTTCCTTACCATCAGGGTCAAGAATCCGACGGGTGATTGTAGGTGACTACCATTAATCAAGGACACCCACAACTTAAGAGCCACCAGTGAGTTGCTGCCGTTCTAGTTCTCCACACCCTGAGTCATGGGGAGGGGAGATTCAGGCTCCGTTTATACACATGAATTATTTTAAAACAGAATAATTGACTCAAAGCATTCTTAAATTGTTAACAAATCCATATCATACCGTAATTGTCATGTCCTTTTAGGTACATAATAGGTAATAGCATGTTTCAGTGCCGCTCAAGTGTAATCACACTAGGCGTATGGTATGCCGGCTGATTTTAGGCTATGTGTAAACTTAAGGTACTTACTAACCTAAATAAACTACTACATACAGTATTAAGGAATTATTCATGTTTATAGTGATTAGTGATCTTGAGTACTGAGCCGGAGGTCGTGGGTTCGATTCTCACTTAGGACAAATGTTGTGGGATTAGCTCGATCATGTGTCTGGGTGTAATTAATCTACAATGTGTATGTATGTGTTTAGTAATATCTAAGTCAGCAGGCTGGATGTCATAGCAAAAGCAGAAATAATCAGTTCAGAACCGAAATATAAAAGCGTTTAATGTCCAGCAGTTCTTTAGTATATCAGAAACTTAAAGTACACACATAACTAATAATCAGCCAGCGTATTGTTTGCTTAATGCGACAAAACCTCATTATTTTCATACATTCATTGTTTTGCATGCTCATGTGTCCGTCTGTGTGTTTGTTTGCATGTTTGTGCGTCACTAACCACAGACCAGCGATGATCTGGATACCGATACGGAGTTCGAACCTGTTGAGGATATGACGATGGAAACCAGAAGCAGATGTAAGTACTGATAGGTGGAGGGGGAAACACCTCTTCACCTAATTTTGTCCGCCCAAAAATGATATCGACTGTTAGATTAATTACATTGCTGTTTTTGACCGTACGCGGTATTTATTGAATTATTTTGGGTAAAATGTTCTGTTTACTCTATGTGATATCATTTTTAAACCGAAATATGGAAAATTCCAATGATTTTCGACTCAAAATGATGGTCTGAATACACTATTTCAATATTCATTATAATGTCCCTTACACCCTGTATGTATATGTTGATCTGTTATTGTCAAGGCTGCGCAATGGCAGGTCAAGTTATACTGGTCAATAAACACATTCAAATGGGTCGGTTTGCTTTGGTGTACTTAGAAATAAGCGAGCATGTTTATGGTTTATTTAATAATTTTATTTTGCATGAATGTTTAATATATTTTTTTAGTATTATGTTGTATATTCGGGATTTATACTTAAGATATAAATATTTCCCAGTTCACTGGCAGATAGCTGATGACATAAGGAGTAACTTAGGCTACTTTTTTTAGACTAGCTTCGCCACCCGGCGTTGCCCGCGGTTATAACAACAAACGCGGGTCTCAGCTAGTCTATAATATGTATGTATTCGGGCCTGTTGGTCTAGTGGTTAGTGACCCTGACTGCTAAATCGGAGGTCATGGGTTTGATTCCCACCCAAGACAAATATTGTATGATGAGTCATTTGTTCTGTGTCTGGGTGTAATTTATCTATAATATGTATGTATTTAGAAATATATAAGTATGTTTATCAGCGGTCTGGTTACCATAGCACAGGCTCTGCCTAGTTTGGGATCATCGGCCAGAAGGTATTTGTTAATAACATTCCTAAAAGTTTGTTAAAAAAGCAACCTCTCATTACTTCATGTAATCCTGGTACTAAAAACGAAGAACCGTCCTTAAAAAAAGCTACTGTTTAATATTACGGTATTCATACGTAGTAGACTCATTACGGTAGATTCTACTAGAAAAAAAACCTCTTCAAAATTCGTGAGATCCTGGTATTTGATATTCCGAATCATTAAAATACCGTTTTGAGCAGAAATTGCTTTCCACAAACGTTGCAACATTGATTTATTGTTGCTAAACTATCAAAAAATCATCTGTATTTATAATCGTTCTAAAAAAACATGTAATATACATATACTAGTAAAAAAAAAGCCGTGTGGTGTCGTGGGACACCCGATAGGAACGAAGTTGTGACGATCGAGTAAAACTGATTCGACACGATTTTAATTACAACGCCATCTATGAAAGCGGCTATTACCTACATATTTTTCAGTTGGTTTCTAATTAAAACAATTTATACATTGGTAAAATCTCCTTGAGAAATGATGTCGAATACAAGATTTTTTGCTCAACCTAAGAACATAAATTTTAATTTTACTGAGATGAAAAGTAATGATTTCCTATCTATTCGATAGATGGCGCGACTGACAATTGACAATTCATAATAAAAAGTGTCTTTTATATTATTTTATTAGTAGTTATAGTATTAGTATTTATAAAAAAACTTTTCGTGAGATTTTTTTCCGTCTAGCCCCCTTTCACAACGCGCGATAAGGAACTTCGTTCCAATTATTTGCCCTGACTAGCAGACTGATTCATACACACAGAGCTCAAACCACCAGGGCTAATAACTTGACATTTTGTCAGCTGAAGCTTTTGGAACGGGTTATCGTCTGCGGTATTTCCGGACCGATACGACTTTCAAACCTACAAGAAAAGAGCGTACTCCTTCCTAAAAGGCCGGCAACGCGTTTGTGACTCCTGAGTTGCAGACGTTCATGGGCGGAGATAGTCACTTTCCATCAGGTGACTCGTCTGCTCGTCTGCCCCTCTCTAACATAAAAGAAAAAACACCTACTAAGAAAGGATTTTTGGAAATTTCAGCCGTAAGGGGGTAAAATAGGGGATGAAGAGTTGTTTTTTTTTATGTTAGAAGGGGCAGACGAGCAGACGGGTCATCTGATGGAAAGTGACCATTTAAAAAAAACACATAAATATCATAACAGCAGTTAGTCCAGTTCAGTTGACAGTTTAGTTGTGTTTAAGTTTGCTATTTTCAATGTTCGAAACACTAAACAAGAATTGATCACGAAAGCGAATCCGCGATCTATCGCTAGAATTACTAAAATTAATTAAAAATATGCTATTTCGTCACATTTTTTCTCGATTTGAATATAATTTTGGACAGTTAATTGGCATAATTAATTTCATCAGTTTCTGTGCATCACGGTTCATTTAGCGCTTACGTAATTTACACCTTTTTACCTAACGATACTGCTGAACTTAGATTTTTACGAGGAGCGACAGCCATCAGACCTCCACAACCCAAATAGGCGATATCGAAGTTCTGTAGAAAGAATTTTTTTATTGGGACTAATCCCACCCACACGCTACACAGTAAATCCACTTCCCTCCTTAGCAAAGCGGGAGACAAAATGAAGTAAAATAGGCATACACCCTTTTAAACAGGGAAGCACCACGGCCACAAAATATTACGGGTCCTACGTGAGCTATATTTGATTTATATAATATGTATGGCAGAATTGCCTAAACGCACGGGAATTCACCCTAGTTGACACAAGATCCCCATAGTATACCGCCCCAGATGTCACCTGCAAGCTATTCAGCATTATATTACATTCATTATACCAAAGACTACATTCCCAGAGGATATGATGAGCAGACTGTTCATAGTGAGAGTTAGGTGTTGAGCATTGACACAATGGTGACTCGACTTATTTAAATGAATAAAGCTTGCTCTTAAAGTTACCATGACCCGTAAGAAATGGAGCGACACAGTGATCCACCTCAAGCCATGTCCTCGACAACCGTTCGCGAACAGATGGGCTAAAACTTCCCGTAATGATTGCCAAAGATTTTCGTATTGCAACCGGGACCACGGCTTAACCTGCTCTCCGAGAAACGGAGGGTCTCAATGAGTTAGGAAATGATCGTCTATCCATAGACTGACCCGGCTAGGATTGCTTAGCTTTGCAATGTGTTAACATACTCAGTAACCACTAAGGTTAGTATAAACAGAACGAGGTAGAATGAACTTCTATGTAGATATCAACTCGGTCTTAATACTCTCCTGGTACTTTTAATAAAAAATAAACGGTGTAAGGGACGTCGTAACGAATACTGTAATGGTGTGTTCAGACCATCATTCTGAGTCGAAAATCTTTGGAATTTTCTGCCGGAAAATTAAACTTTTTATGCAATCAATTGTCAAAGGTTAAGGTCATTCCCCGTAGGTATCGCACTAAAGTAGTAACTACGTGTGTATTCCGCGCAAACAGTCTGCGCACACTCACTGTTGGCTGTTTGATTAATTACATTGCAGTTTTTTTGGTATTTATTAAATTGTTTTCGGTAAAATGTTCTATCTACCCATTGTGATATAATTTTTCATCATTTTTAACTAGAAAAATAGAAAATTAAAAAAATTGAATTTTCCGGCAGAAAATTTCAATGATTTTCGACTCAGAAACATGGTCTGAATACACTATTTCAGTGTTCGGTACGATGTCCCTTACACCTCGTATAATATAAAAATAGTAGACAATTGAATTGGGTACAGGGACCAAGACGCTGGCTCTTGGTTATTATTATTATTAAAAGCAACATCCCTTTCCTACCATTCGCTTTCCTTTCCTTTGTATATCTCTTCAGTACTAATACTCTCCTAGTACTTCAAATAACAGAAGGACCACTAAAATGTGCTCTTTCTAGATAGTCCTTCTTTTCATGGTAGAAGTAGGCAGTAGGGTGACTGTAGCCAGTCATCAAGGGTATTTTTAATGGTTTTAACACAGACTCCCTCGTATTCCCCAGGAGCCGGAGATCCGAAGGGTTTTCCATCTCGTGACCAAAAAAATTTTTCTTCTTTTCTTCTGTTAAATATACTAGAAAAGTGTATATAATAATAATAATAATTTACCACATTCACTAATCCTTTTACTATGTGTTATAAAGCTACAATACTATAAAGCATAAGTACATTTATACTTTTTTCTTGTAAATATATATATATATATATATAGAAACACCCAGACCAAATCAAAGATTAAATCTACATGCTTACAAATGTTTAACTAAACTGTGATACTAAACAAAAAACCTTCCCATACCTCATGCCCTCCTAGTATTTGAAACGAATTGTCCTTTAATATTTATCGTCTACATTTAAAAATATTACGGGTTGGGATTTCGACATTACTATATTTAAAAAAACCTTGATGATTGCAAAATTAATAGTGCCAAATAATTGTCCAAAATTATCTGTATTCATATTGCGAAAAACAATCATTTACATATTATGCAGTTATGACGAAAAGAAGAATTTCTAATCAATGTAGTAAATTATGTATAGTTCAATGTAATAGTTATGTATAACTGTTTTTCTAAAAAGATTATAAATACAGATAACAATTTGTGATGTCTAACATCTTTAATCACTCTTTCCTTAATCTGTGGCAGTGATTTCGCGGAAAGAGAAAGTGTGTAACAGGATGCCGGGGAAGCGCGCGCTATTTGATTGTACCAATAAGCGCGCGCTTTTTTAAATAACCAATATGTGTGCGCTTTTTGATATAACCAACAAGTGCGCGCTGTTTGATTGGACCAATAAACGCGCGCTTTTTTATATTACCAATATGCGTGCGCTTTTTGATATAACCAAAAAGGGCGTGCTTTTTGATTTGAATAATAAACGCCGGCTTTTTAATTTGATCAAGAATTGTGCGCTTTTTAATTTGATATAGAAGTGCGCGCTTTTTAATTTGCCATGGAAGTGCGCGCTTTTTGATTTGATTAATAAGTAAACGCTTTTTGGTTTGACCGGTGAGAGCGCATTGCTTTAGTTGTCCATCAGATGCCAGGTTAGATGATAGATGTTACACACCATATGTGACTACTGTAACGCTCACGTGTATTTTTTTTATAGTTTAACATCAACTCAAGTTTTTAACCAGTTTGCAAATAGGATAATATCTGCACAACACAGTCCAATTATTACTGTGACTAAATAGTAATTTATATCCGGTTTACAAACAAAGTAAATATTTATTACTAGCTGACCCGCGCAACTTCGTCTGCGCCTCTCAATAGTAATAAATTTTCTCCGTTTTTGAAACATTCTTCATTGGTGCTCCGCTTCTATTGATCTTAGCGTGATGATATATAGCCTATAGCCTTCCTCGATAAATGGGCTATCTAATACTGAAAGAATTTTTCAAATCGGACCAGTAGTTCCTGAGATTAGCGCGTTCAAACAAACAAATAAACAAACTCTTCAGCTTTATAATATTAGTATAGATAATAGCTATAAAGACGTAACTCATGCATGTACAAAAAAATATATTTAAAGTTATGACTTCAATTTTCAGATATTGTCAGCTCAAATTCTCAAAAACGCAGACGGAAAGTGTTTTTATTTTGGAAATTATTTAATCCGTTGTTGAGACAATTTACTAAAACTAACTTAATTTGTTTAACTCTACACATTTTAGCTGTTTTTATGAGAAACAAAAGTGATAATGTCTGAAAATTGTCATTACTGTTAAACGAATAGGTTTTTTAGAATCCCAAAGACAAATCTAATAAGTGTTTAAATCTAGTATCCCATTTTCCAGGGAAATCGGTGTATGTAACGCATCCAAGTTACGACATTTTAACAATTTCGTTTTCTGAATTTACAGCCAGCGCTCACACCGGTGAACATGGTGTTGATGAGTATCCTGATATCAGTGGTATCACCAACGCTAGGGTAAGTTATAGTTTTTTTTTTTACATTTCATCATCATGATGATCGAAACACGTCCACCGAGACACTTTTTGCCCCGCACAACCAATCTGTGGAACGGGTTATCGTCTGCGGTATTTCCGGACCGATACGACCTTCAAACCTTCAAGAAAAGAACGTACTCCTTCCTAAAATGCCGGCAACGCGTTTGTGACTCCTGAGTCACTTTCCGTCGGGTAACCCGTCTGCTCGTCTTCCCCCTCTAACATAAAAAAACCCCCCAAGGTTTGTCACACTAACCGGTCCTGTGCTGCCCGCATGCAACGGCTTCCAGCTACCTTCACGTTCCGTCTTCCGAGACATCTTTTTAAATTCTACATTGAATTAAATCTAGTTCTGGTCCGTCCGGTCGTTCTATGTAACGGATTTAGCAATATTTCCATAGCTTTCTCCTTCTATCTATTTCATTTTATCTTCAAGATATCTCCTTACATTTCCTTATTCCCTGGTACATCAATTTAAACAATTATCTTCGAGATAACTTCTGCATTTCATGATTCCCTGGTACATTAATGAAAACAATATGCTCTTCTTCTCACAGGAAGCCATGCGTAAGATGACAGAAGAAGATAAGCGCAAGATCCTGCAGCAGGTGGAACTGTTCCGCCGCGAGAAGATGACTTTCGACAATGAGGTGGCAAAATGGGACGATGCTGGCAATGACATCATCATGCTAGCCAAACACATGTGCATGATTATGTTGGAAATGACAGACTTCACCAGGTATAAACTGCGAGAAGGAGATGAGGATATATCTTAGAGTAGGATAGAGTTTTTTCCTATAGGGGAGATACCTCGGCTTCATAAAAAGCTGCTGTTAAGTTCTTCTTTTACGGCATTCCACTCTCCCTCTCCCCAAAAACTCTCTTCTTGCTAAACACTTCCTTTTTACTACTCTTCGACACCCCTTAAGTTTATCGGCTAATAAGATAATGAATTCAGTTTCAACGGGTAATTTTAAAGTTAACTTAATTTTAAATTTTCCAGCACTAGATGGCGGTGTTTGATCTTTTGTTCTAGCACTTTTACTTAATTGACGGGCCTGTTGGTCGAGTGGTTAGTGCCCCTGACTGCTAAGCCGGAGGTCATGGGTTCGATTCCCACCCAGGACAAATATTGTGTGATGAACATGATCAGTTGTTCTGTGTCTGGGTGTAATTTATCTATAATATGTATGTATTTAAAAATATATAAGTATGTTTATCAGCAGTCTGGTTACCATAGCACAGGCTCTGCCTAGTTTGGGATCAGACAGCCGTGTGTGAAATGTGTGAGGTATATATATATATAGCTCAATAGATGGCGCTGCCCCGTTTTGATAACACTATTAATGTTAATTAATATTATTTTAACGGGAATTAACGCGATCTCTTATTTAGGGTATTACATACCTCTGGTTTGCCTGACGTTTCGACCAGGTTGCACCGGCCGTGGTCACAGGCTGACTGCTGACGTTAATTCCCGTTAAAATAATATTAATTATCATGGAACGCGAAAGTTTAAAAGTTACTATTAATGTTGTTCTATGTTTACAGGGGTCGCGGTCCTCTTAAGACGACAATGGATGTTATCAACGCAGCTAAAAAGATCTCAGAAGCTGGCACGAAGCTGGACAAACTTACCAGAGAAATTGCTGAGCAGGTGAGCATACAAGTTTTGAAGTGAAATATAATACTAAAATGGACTGACTGCACGGATGGCGCAGTGGTTTAAGCGGTCGCCACGCCGCTTCCTACTGCGCCGAGTGTTGTGGGTTCAAACCCCACATGGGACGACACTTTGTGTGATCCACAAATTGTTGTTCTAAGTCTGGGTGTTCTTTGTGTCCGTTTCATGTATGTTTGTAAAGTCCCCCGCGACACAGGATTTATTCTTAATGCGGGAATTGTCTTTTAAAAAAAAAAAAAAAAAAGTACTAAAATGGCTAAAAAGCACTGCTTGAAGGTTGCCACATCACTCTTCATCACTCGTTCCAATGTAAACTAAACTTAATTTTCCTTATAACAGTGTCCAGAATCGTCTACAAAACAAGATCTACTGGCCTACCTCCAGCGTATTGCCCTCTACTGTCACCAGATCCAAATCACGAGCAAAGTGAAAGCTGACGTCCAGAACATATCTGGCGAACTCATCGTTAGCGGGGTAAGGGCATTTTGAAGGTATTTTTGTGAATAGCGACATCTAGAGCCGAGTTTTAGTAACTAAGCGCTATGAAAACATTGCTACTGCTTACAATAGCCGGTGGGGGTATAAAGTGGTCGGATAGGCCCCTCACTAGGTGGACCGACAACCTGGTGCAGGACTACCAATTGTTGTGGCGAACCTTGGGACTGTACCAAGGCTATCTTTCTAGAGTATACTTGGTTCCTCGGCTGCCGATACCTGGAGACGGTTTTTAGTCGGTTCGAGTCCGACATTACCACCCTACTGGTAGGTGGTATCCGAGGGGAGTTCCGCACAGAAAAAAAAAGGGGGATGTCCAGCAGTGGCCTTCTTTTAGCTGAGATGATGATGATGATGGAAATATTAGCGACATCTATCGTACAGTAACATTGAGGTAGTGTTTCGGGTAGGTGTGATATATTTTAGTTTTTTTATTTTATCTAGGTTTGCAGTCAACTGGTCAATGGTGTGTAAAGAATATATAACCTACTAATAATATTGTAGGATTATTAAAGTTAAACGAGTTTTGTGAAAAGACTTGCAGTTTTATTATAATACTTATAACGTTACACATTCAGTACAGAGCGCAGTGATACAGATCATAGAGAACTATACAGACTATATACCTTTTTCTATAAAGAAAAGAACCAGTGTTGTCAGAGTATTATATTGACTTATACCAACACCCCCCCTCAATATAATACTCACCTACTCTTTAAACCGATCTAGATAAACTGAGACTAACATAACAAATTCAATCTTCTAACATGTTACACATATTTATGAATTTATGTAACAAATTTTTATTTATTGCTTTTGTGAACATATCTGCAATCTGATCTTCAGTTTTTATATATTTTAACACTAGTTTACCCCGTCTAATTAACTCTTTAATATAATGGAACCTTATATCTATGTGTTTAAGACGCTTAACACAGTCAGTGTTAGCAACCATTATGGCACTCTGATTATCACTGAACATTACTACAGGGCAGAGATTCTCTATTTTAAAATCATATAATAAATTTATAAGCCAACAAGCATCTGCCGCAGCCATACTGATTGCTATGTACTCCGACTCCGTAGATGACAGACTAACACTCGCTTGCCTCTTTGAGCACCATGATATCAAACAATTTGAAAACATAAAACAATAACCGGTTGTAGACTTTCTATTTTTTAAATCTCCCCCCAGTTAGCATCACAATAACCAATTAACATATCATTATTGCACTTATATATTAGACAGTAATTCATAGTACTCTTAATATATCTTAAAACTCTTTTCAAAGCCGTTAATAACATGTTGTTTGCTTTATTTTGGTATCTGCTTAGAATGGACACTGCTACACAGATGTCTGGTCTCGTCCCTAATGCTGCATAGGACAGCATACCAATGATTTTTCTACATTTGTTTTCAATATTTTTATCAATTACAGAGTTACAATTTTCCTCTAATATTTTTACATTAAAATTAAAGTCCATAGGGGTAGACATACCTTTACAATTATACATTTCAAATTTGTGTAATAAAGATTCTAAATATTGTTTTTGACTCAATTTGGTGACTTTATTTTTTAAATCCTGTTCTACTCGTATGCCTAAAAAGTATGATATTAATCCCAAGTCTTTCATTTTAAATTCAGAGTTTAACAACGTTTTTAAGTCAGAAATTTCATTTTCATTGTTACCAAAAATCAATAAGTCGTCAACATACAGTAAAGCATAGGTATTGACACTATTAGTATGTTTTAAATATAAACAAGTATCACTTTGGGATCTTACAAAACCTTGCCTCATAACCACTGAGTTAAATTTATCGTTCCAGTACTTGGGTGATTTCTTTAAACCATATAATGACTTATTCAGCTTAACAGTGTTGTTATGCCCGCTATAGGCGCCCTCAGGTAATTGTAAATAAACAACTTCATCAATATTCCCATATAAAAATGCACCTGTTACATCCATCTGATAGATGGGTAAGTTTAGCTTAGTTGCAATTGACACAAACAGTCTAAAGGTAGCCAAATTAGCCACAGGAGCATAAACTTCATAGGAATCTAACAGATCATTTTGTTCAAAGCCCCTAGCCACAAGTCTAGCTTTATATTGAGTACTGCCATTTGTGTTTTTAACTTTGAATACCCACTTACTACTTACAATCTTTTCACTCACAGGTTTTTCACAGAAGTCCCAGGTTTTGTTTTCATTCAGTGTTTGCAGCTCTCTCGCTATGGCTTCTTGCCATTTTCTGGCATCTTGCCTTTGCATGGCCTCTTGATACGTCTTGGGCTCATTATCTTCAGTAGAAACATAATGACACTTATAGAATGAGGTTTGCTTCCTGACCCGGGTACTTCTCCGGCATTGTGATGTTTCACCTTCTTCATCATCGGAGCTGTCATCATTGAAACTTGGAATATACTCACTTCCGTCACTTCCTGTAGATATATCCACAGTTTCTTCTAACTGCGTAGACTGCTGATCACCCTCACTGGATTCTACCTGCTCTACACTTTTGTTTGAGTATACTAACTGTTCTTTAGACCCTTGATCCTCATCAGTCTCTTTGAGTCTATCTGAGTCATGTTCCAATACCTCCAACTGCTCTGTCTTAGTTTTAGGTTGTTCCAGGAAGACTATGTCTCTCTTTATTTCCACACAGTTTTTATTTTCAAAGAATACTCTATAGCCCTTAACGTCCTCTCCATAACCCACCATTATTCCTTTCTCTCCTTTAGCATCCCATTTTCTTCTTTTTTCTTTTGGGATGTGGACAAAAACAGGGGTTCCAAATATTTTTAAATAATTTATATCAAAATATTTGTTGGTCCATACCTCGAATGGTGTTTTCCCAGGTTCATTGCTTTTACTTGTCCTGTTTAATACATATGCCGCTGTTTGAACTGCTTCTGCCCATAACTTCTTTGGCAAACCTTTTGCACATAACATTGTTCTTGCAGCCTCGACCAGCGTTCTATTTTCCCGTTCTGATTTTCCATTTTGTTCGGGAGTATATGGCACTGTGGTTTGGTGTATGATACCCCGTTCAGTAAATAGGTTTTGCACTCCCTTGTTTACGAATTCCAATCCATTGTCACTTCGAAAACAGTGTATTTTATTGTTTGTAGTATTTTCTGCTCTATTTATGAAGTTTTCAATACACTTCTTTACTTCATCCTTTCCTTTAACAAAATACACAGATCTATAATTAGAGTAGTCGTCCTTCATAATAACGAAGTATCTGGAACCTCCCACAGAAGGCACCTCCATGGGTCCACATGTGTCAGCATGTATAAGTTCACCTGGCCTTGTTGTTTTTGTTTCACTAGTATAGAAGGGCAAACGACTTATTTTTCCTTGCAAGCAACTCTCACATTTTGCTTCGGTATTGTCTTTTACAGAAACGTTGTTGTTCCTAAGCACGGCCTTCACTTGTTGCAAGTTTTGGTGAGCCAGTCTTTCATGCCAGTCTTTGAGACTTGATTGCGCTTGAGCCATATTTGCTCCTTCGCATTTGTAACGAACGTCCAAAAAATACATATCGCCGATACGATTAGCCATCGCACATACTTTGTTCTGTTTAATGAATTTGCACAAGTTATCATCTGTGATCATTGTATAACCTCTATCTGTCACGCAGTTGACAGATAACAAGTTTGTTTTCAGTTCTGGCACAAATAATACATTGTCTATGGTAGTGTCTATCCATTGCTTTCCATCGTGTACTTGCAGCGCCACCTGTCCGCAACCATGTGCACTTATCGAATTCCCGTTACCGACGATCACAGATTTATTGGACAATGAGAAATATGTCGTGAAAAGGTTACGATTGTGGCACATATGTTGACTCGCACCAGAGTCCACTAACCACTGCGATTTTTGAAAATGTCCATTCGAAATCACGAATGCATTACTTGCGTTACTGTCCTTTTCTTTGTTTTTCTTGAACCAGCACTCACTTTTTATATGTCCCACCTTTTTGCAGTAATGACACTTTTTCACCGGCCTCTCATCACTGTTCGAGTTGTTATTGTTTATTTTACTTCTACACTCACTCTGGAAATGTCCAAATTTACTGCACTTATAACATTTTACGTTTTTCTTTCCTAATTTCTTAGCAACAAAAGCCGCCGCTGATTGCTGAGACACATCCTGTTTATCCTTTAAGCGTTCCTCTTCTATTAGAAGCCGAGCAACGAGATTATCATAGGTTTGTTTCTCCTCCGGTGCAGATTCCCAGGCAGAGATAAAATGCTTATAATCGGCTGGAAGCGACATTAACACTTTTGTTATGATGAATTTCTCGGAAATGCTTTCTCCCATCTGTTTTAACTGATTCTTCAGTTCTTCGATTTTGGATAGAAAAGTGGACATGGGTGTTCCATCTTCATATTTATACTGAAAGAATCGTTGTTGAACAATGTGTATGCTTGTTTCCGATGTTTGTTCGTAGACACTCGATAGTTTTCTCCACATTTCCGCTGATGAAGTACATGTTAAAATATGCATCATTGCACTCTCTGACATTCTTGTCACCAACCATGTTTGAGCTTTTGCGTCTAGCCTTTCCCATCGTGCCTTTTCAGTCGTTTCTTCCGGCTTTAATTTGATACCTTGAACCACGTCGAGCAGATCCTGACTTCGCAGCATAATCATTGATTGGAATTTCCAAACATTCCAATTCGATGGACCTTCTAGTTTGATGTGTGTACCAAAGGTCTTATTTTCTTCCATTGTGTACTTATTTTCCTTCCTGCTTGTCCCGTCCTTGTAATACAAGTATTTTTCGTCCCGACCTCGTGTGGCGTCAGTCTAACCTCAAAACCGACGTATCCGAGTAGATGCCGCCGATAGAAAACTTTTTATTTTTTTTTACTTATTCCACGTTTTACTTATTCCACGGTTGTGGCGCTGGGCCCATAACCTGTAGGATTATTAAAGTTAAACGAGTTTTGTGAAAAGACTTGCAGTTTTATTATAATACTTAAAACGTTACACATTCAGTACAGAGCGCAGTGATACAGATCATAGAGAACTATACAGACTATATACCTTTTTCTATAAAGAAAAGAACCAGTGTTGTCAGAGTATTATATTGACTTATACCAACAAATATTATAACTAATTAAATTTTAATTCTGTACAAAATTTTTTGTTTACAAATGCTCAAAAACACAAGCACACGCACACACAAATACATATTGACTTACGCACACAAACACACGCAGCCATTTACTGAGTCCCTCATTCTCATATTCCTTCCTACCTTTCGTTCACCTGCTTCTTAGATCATACACTATCTCCAAACAAACAAACTCACTCACTCACTCACTCACTCACTCACTCACTCACCTACTACACACTCACACAAAACTTGTAGTCCATTCGAAGAAAATACCGTTTCGTACGAAAGCTTGGTCCCTGATTGGTCAGGGGGCGGGGCTTAATCGATGCGTCACTTTTTTCTTAACGCGAATAGACTATAATGCTTTTATACCACATCATTTTGTTTTAATAAAATAACTTAAAACAAGCGGCGGTAGCCTAGTGGTTAAGGTATTGGACTTTCGATCAAGAGGTCGTGGGTTCGAATCCTGACCAGTACACTACCGAGGTAAACCCACCCTGAGGGGTTAACGGGAATACTAGTAATTTCAGTTGCTAGTAGACCTTTAAAACTGTAAAAATGGGCCATTAACTTTTTATTTATTTAAATATTAACAACTAACAATTATTAATAGGCCGACTTCACTAGCAAAGAGAATGAAGAGTCTCAAAACGTATCCGGACAACTTGTCGTCAACCGGGTGAGTTAGGGTGTGCTGTCGTATCCGGATAACCTGTGTATCCGGATATTTTTTGTAACAGTTCACTTTCGTCTTGATGGTGGAGGTTCATTGTGTCGTACAAAAATCATCAACCGGTTTCTTTTACATCAGCAACTTGTTGTGAACGGCTTTTTATTAAATGTTTATCGGTAATGGTATTTTTGTCCAGCAATTGGGAAACTTTAAATGTCTGTTTTCGTCAATAAACATATTTGTGTGATATTCAACCTGTTTTGTCGGCTTTGACTAATCCCACTGGCATGCCCGCTGCTGGGCTTCGTCCCAAGCAGATGCTAAACATGATACTGGAGAATCCCAACGAAGGTTCAACGGTCTTGAAAGTCGATAGGAATTTATTCAGAAGTATAGATTGAGAAGTTGGAAATTCTGTAAATCCAACTACCCTCCTTAGCACACCAGAAGACAGAAGAGCAGAAATTGATGATTATTTATAGAAGAAGACATAGCGCCATCGTATACATTCTGCACGGTGTATTTATTATTCAGACTGCCCCGTGGTGCAGTTGTAGCGTACGTGTCTGCTATGCTGAGGTCTAGGGTTCGATTGAAAAAATGAAACGACCAATATACTGGTCTGGAGGGCGATACTCACGACGACTGCACGGATGGGGTAGTGGTTTAAGCGGTTACCTCCGCTGCTTCCTACTGCGCTGAGTGTTGTGGGTTTCTATCCCCACATGGGACAACACTTTGTGTGATCCACAAATTGTTGTTCCGGATCTGGGTGTAAAGTCCCCCGCGACACAGGATATATTCCTAGTACGGGGTTGTCTTTAATCTCTCCTCTACTTCTTGGCTTAGAAGACAGACACTCTTTATGGTATAAGGGTCTGTGGAATCTATAGGCGTAGACATTTTTTCGCGAATAGAGATACAGCGCGTTCAAACGTTCTTTGGAAAACACATTTAATATTTATTTGAGGTCGGTTTGTGGGTTTGATTCCCACCCACTCAAATAATTGTGATCATCACAATCATTTGTCCTGTGTTGGTGTAATTTATCTATACTAATATTATAAAGCTGAAGAGTTTGTTTGTTTGCGCTAATCTCAGGAACTACTGGTCCGATTTGAAAAATTCTTTCAGTGTTAGATAGCCCATTTATCGAGGAAGGCTATAGGCTATATATCATCACGCTAAGACCAATAGGAGCGGAGCACCAATGAAGAATGTTTCAAAACGGAGAAAATTTATTACTATTGAGAGACGCAGACGAAGTTGCGCGGGTCAGCTAGTCTATAATATGTATGTGTGTAGAAATATTTCATTAACAGCCTCTAATGGTCCGCTGTTGGACATGCCTCTCCTTAGAAAGGAAAGGTTTAGAAATATTTACCTAAGAATGTTTATCTCTGAATAGTTTGGGATCAGACGGCCGTGTGTGAGACGTGTGAAGTATTGCCGGCTTTAATGCAGGGATTTCTCAATTTCGTTGCATTTTCTTTGTTACAAGAACTCTACGTGTGTTAATAAACAGTCGTACGTAAAGGTGAGGGCGATCTAATAAAGAGGAAACAAGCGTCAATTCAAGGTCGATGTCGGCTAGCTACTGGGGATGAAATGAAATCACAAACACCAGTCATAAATCATATAATCACATCTGTGATAAATGTACAAAACCACTGCTACTTATTATTATTATTACGTTAGCGTCAGACTCGCGTCGAAACTTAGTTAGTAGTCGCGTCGAAGTAGTTTATTTTGATGGCATTTATCTTCCTCTGCGACCAAATCACAATCACAGGTAAAATCACTGTGACTATAACAAATCATTATATCAAATGATCGTGACATAAAAGTAGCAATAATTTCCATGTCTTCTAACTACTGTCGCTCTGGACCGAGCGCCTGCGCAGCGTGCGTCGGAGTCTTTATTGCGGTGGCGAGCAAAGGTGGTTCGATCTTCCCGCTACAGTTCAAACGAGCAATACTGCATGTCACAAGGGCATTGAAAATCTAATTAATAAAGCGGCAGTAGCTTAGTGGTTAAGGCATTGGATTTGTGATCAAGAGGTCGTGGGTTCGTATCCTGATCAGGACACTACCGACGTGAACCCACTCCTAACACAAGTAATATAGCTTAGCTGGAGGGGTTAACGGATATACTAGTAATTTCGGTTGCTAGTAAACCTTTAAAAAAATCTGGAGTGCCTCCCCAGAGTTAGCAGAGCGTGGTTGGCCTCACTCATCACCGGTTTTCTGTGAGGCCGGTCTCCGGGAGCATAACTCTCCTTATAACTCTTAATTTGTCTGTTCCAGCTGGATAGTGCCACGTCTCTGATACAAGCGGCCAAGAACCTAATGAATGCTGTCGTCTTGACTGTTAAAGCGTCATACGTCGCTTCCACTAAGTATACTCGACAAGGAACAATCGCTGTGAGTATGCCTTTTAAAGTTTCTTTAAAACTGTTATAATTGACTGCACAGATGGCGCAGTGGTTTAAGTGGTCGCCACGCCGCTTCCTACTGCGCCGAGTGTTGTGGGTTCAAACCCCACATGGGACGACACTTTGTGTGATCCACAAATTGTTGTTCTGAGTCTGGGTGTATATATTCCTTAGGATATATTCCTAATGCGGGAGTAGTCTTTAAAAAAAATAATAATTCAGATATACCTACCTTTAATACCTTTGTATTGTACTACAATGACCATGGTCACAGAACCAGGACCTCAATTCTGCTATTTAAATATTGTATCAATAGACTGTCGATGGAATGTCGTCGCAATAGTTTTGCACTTTTCCTATTCTACTAACTATGTAAGACCAATGGTCCGATGATTTGTCACTGATACAAATGTCGTCGATGTTTTCGTAATAGTTTGGTAAACGGTACATTTTAAATTTGTAAAAATATGATATACATATTTAATTTTCCAGTTTTGGCAATGTTTTTGATATCGCCATTGATGACCTATATTACTGTATCGACAGTCTATTGACACTGAATTTATGTTAGTAGAATACTGATATTTCTTAGGCGTCTCAATAGCGTGTCAATGGCTTGGCGTTAACATAAAATAGCAGAATTGAGGCCCAATGCAACATGGCCGAAACGAAAGCCAAATTACATAGAGTTATGTAAAGGAATAAAATAATATCATTTTTAAAAACAGACCGTAGTTTTTTGTTGTTAATGGAATTTGAAAGAGATATGTAATTTGTTAAAGAAGATAGAACCAGTATCAACTACCAGGATTACATGTTTAACTGGAGTTATACCAAAATTGGTTTTTGTATGTTTATTGTATTTTGATACTTTTGTCTGAGATGTTGATGAAAGGGACAGCTATATGTATAAAAAAGAGTGGTTTGAATGGTGTATAGTGAGAAAGAAATAAAATACATTATAAGTATTTTTTCTTAAAAAAAGAATTCACTGCATGGATGACTTAGTGGTTTAAGCGGTCACCTCGCCGCTTCATACTGTGTTGTGGGTTCGATCCTAACATAGGAAAACACTTTGTGTGATTAACAAATTGCTGTTCTGAGTCTGGGTGTTCTTTGTGTGCGTTTCATGTATGTTTGTAAAGTCCCCCGCGACACATGAAAGGTATATTATTACTTGTGTGGAAGTTGTCTTTAAAAAACGAGTGTGCTTTAGACGACACGACGAGAGAAAGAGAGAAAGAAAATATGTGCTCGCACCTCTCTCTCTTGCCCCCACAATAATATACGAAACGTAACTCTCTCTCTTTCTATCTTCACTAACTTATATCTCCCTCTCAATTTCCGTTCGCCTCACCCTATCACATTTTTCGTAACGCTCTCGTCATTTAACTACCAGGATTAAATATTTTACAGGAGTTATTTAAATACATTCTTACTTTGATGGTATTGTGTGAATGAGAGGTTTATGAAAAGAACAGCTGTGTAGAAGAGAGATAAAAATATACAACTAAATGTGTGGAACAAAGATGTGTGTTACAGTCTTTACGATATGTGTAAGAGAGATAGAGAATTAGTTTAATTACTAACATTATTGAAACGAACAGCAAAGTTGTTTATTAGATATAAGTAAGAACCCTCAAATTATTATAGTCGATAATAAATAAGATGTGTGTAAAAGATAATTAACACAAACCTAACTCTGAAAGTACCAGGCGAACATATTTATGAGAAGGTATACGTATAACCTTTGCTAATCCCATAATAGTCACAGAAAAAACGGTTGAATTGCGAACCTCCTGCTTTTGTAAAGTCAGTTAAAAAGCTTCGCAGTAAGGTTTAAAATCGAATGCATGATGTAGTGGATAGGAGAGGTATATCAACAATTATATGATATGGCTACGCAATAGAAGCAAGAAATGAGCTTTGGATCAAGTATGGCTTCTAAGCTTTAAAACTTAAGATTATAAAGCGAAAAATAAATATTTATACCCTTAAAATAATTATAAATATTACTAGTTTTACGGATTTTATTTAACTATATATATAAAAGTCGAAAAATACCAAAATTATGGTTAAAAATCCATTGACGGTAGGAAAAAAACTTTTTACACTGGCAATACCACAGTTCGTCTGTCAGCCGTCTATAACACGGTTATGCACTTAGATTTATTTATTATTATGGAGCTCCTCCGGACTGAAGAGGTAGGCCGCCGCGGGGTTTAGTGGGTAGACCGATTTTCCGGGAGTCCCACACACGCCTTGTGTTTCCCTGAGGGTTCACACACCCCTGAGGGTATGGTGCGAAAAGCATTCTCCGCGTAAAAAAAAATACTTAATAATGTTAATTTAAATCACGTGTTAATTCAGAGAATACTTGACTAGGTTTGTACCCATTCGAACCTATGACCCCTTTGGCGGCCATTTACAAATTACGTCACACTTTAAGCGGGAGGTAGGGGTCGGCAAAGTGTGACAAGGGTTGGGAGGTGTCTTTTGAAAACCTAATATATCTGAGTATTAAAACGCGAAATTAGAATTTTGATTTTTCATACTTTTTAAGGCGAAACAACTTTGAAGTTTGAACGAAGGGCCTGGTGACCTGTAACACAGGTTTTTTTTTAACCTACATCAGGCACCAGTCTTTCACAAATGTGGATTTAAGAAGCTAGCCTAGTGCTGTGTTATTTTGTTAAGGTATCCATTTGTGAAAAGAGAATAAAATATTATTATTATTATTATTATTATTAAGTTTGAACGAATGGCTTGTATGCCGTCTGTATGGACAGGCCGTCTCCAAACTATGGCCCTTTCTTCAAAAGGCCTACCCAAACCCTACACTGTACTCGCACAGTTTTCTTTAACTCTGTTTACGAATTAAAAAAAAGACACCTCTGTTTTTTGTTTCGGCCTTTCTTCCCAGAGTGAGTCTTAGGAAATGCCGGCTCCATCTAGATGTAAAGTCCGACTTGTAAAAATATCTGAAAAGAAGAATCATTTAAAACCTACAATCCGTAAAACTAGTAAAATTTTAGCTTACATTAGTTAAAATAAATGTTAGATTTTCATTGACATTAAATATTGAACTCTCTCTTTAAGTAATAAAGCACAAATTTGCTTCAAAATCGATATAAGGGTCGGGTCACACTAGCCCTTTTTTGTTTTAATAAAATGTTTATGTCAATGGAAGTTTGACCTAAAAATATATTTTTTTAAGTATTTATTAATGAAATACTGATGGCTAATTTATAACCAACGCTGTGCTGGGAAAAAGAATTACGTGAGTTGTAGTCTTTTTAGTGCATAATATTGTGTCGTCTTAGCTAGCTTCTGCATCCTGCTTCGCTTGTATTTTAGTTATTTGTCTATGCAATATATCTTTAGTAGATTTACTGTATTTCCAACTCCTCCAATTTTCTTCTGATTAATTTCGTTGCGGGTTCCAAGACAGTTTAATTTCTTCCTGGGACTTCCCGAGTGTCATAACTCGGTGTGTTCGTGGGTCACTGCTGTGGATCCTGGTGTTACAGCGGTGAGCGTGTGGGTGGGATTAGTCCCAATAAAAAAAAATAGATCTTTAGTTCAGAAAAAAAAAAGTGTCTTATGTAGACTTCAAAGTCATAGATAATCAACACAGACAATAGCAACAATGTCTGTTTTATCAAATATTTAGCAAAATCAAGTCAGTCCATTAATCCATTATATACCTGTGTAAAATTTAATATTTATGTTTACTTAATAGTATATATTCTAAATAGCGGACCCGACAGACGTTGTCCTGTCAAATTTGACACTGCGATGGTAGCGCCGTCTGTCTGATCCAATGTAAAACATTCCAAAATCAACAACTACTAATAAATTAAAAATTAATTAAAAAAACATTGTCCAGCGGACAAAATTGTGAATCTAAACCATTCCCAGATCCCCTTGAACACACACAAAAAATTTCATCAAAATCGGTCCAGTCGTTTGAGAGAAGTTCAGTGACATACACACTCACAGAAGAATTATATATATAAAGATTTGAGAAAACCTGGTTAGTTCCCAACCCAACAGGATTGGGTTCCCAACCCTTCATCACGGAGCAGAGCAACCTGTCATGTAACTGCATTATAGAGATTGTAGGAAAAGTAGAGTTATTTAAAGACAGCTGTAGTCGCTTACGCTTGTGCTTGTTTAATGTGAGTAAAACACCTTTTTATGAGGACCCCTGTTGAGTCTTCTTATGTTTATATTTACGTATTATAACATTTATTCTTTCTCAAGATACATTACACAATATCATTGGAGTTTACTCTTTAAGAATCGATTGTCATGTAAGGCGCCCGATATAAAAAAAATATGAAGAGTAAAATGTAGTGATTGAATGACCTCGTTATGTTTTTTGTGCGCAACCTATCGTGCGCACCTTTCACATGTGTGTGTATAACTTGTATACTTGTGTGCAGCCGAATCGTTCTTAACGAGTAAACTCCAGTCGTGCGTCGTAGCTGACACACTTTTTTTTTAATCATATCTGTCCACAAAATATATTTTGGTTTTTCCAACCCCACAGTCGCCGATCGTAGTGTGGCGCATGAAAGCCCCGGAGAAGAAGCCCCTCATCCGCCCCGAGAAGCCGGAGGAGGTTCGCGCTAAAGTGCGCCGAGGGTCGCAGAAGAAACAGCCCTCGCCCATACACGCGCTGGCGGAGTTCCAAAGCCCCGCAGAAAGCGTCTAAAGTAAGGGTTACATATAAGACAACCACGGCCTCTTATTATTTTGTTGATTTTCAGCCTCTCAGTCCCCCCCCCCCCCTACCTGATGCTGGAGGGGGACTGAAACAAAGTCCTGGCTATCAAGTAGTCTCGTAGAGCCATGTCTCTTAAGTCTCACAAAACTGGGACATTTCTTTAAAAAAAAAAGTTGATTTGGTAATGAACTACGCAGCCAGTTGTTAAAAGAAAAAGCAGATATTTTTATTAAAAATCTAGCTGACTCGGCAAACGTTGTTTTACCATGTACATTATTGTTATATATATTTTTTAATGCTAAATCATAATAAAATAAAAATAAAATAAATGTCAAAAATATTTAATGGTTACCCTTATCATTTCGGGGTATGAAAAATAGATGTTGGCCGATTCTCAGACCTACCCGATATGCACACAAAATTTCATAAAAATCGGTCCAGCCGTTTCAGAGGAGTTTGGTAACAAACACCGCGACACGAGAATTTGATATATTAGATAATTTAATAACTCGAAAACTATTGATTATAGAGAAACAAGACTGATCTCATTTTATTCCTCATCAAATTCCCTAAAAATCATACACATCTCCGACCGTTGTTCTCAAATTATTAAATAAAAACGACGGATTACTCTCACTCTCTCTCTCTCTCTCGCTTTGCAGGCAGTAATTGCAGAGCGAGAGAGATAGCGACTAACGCTTTTTCGTAACGTACGGTTTTTCTCGTGAACTTCTCCCCACATCGTCCCATAAGGAACTTCGTTCTAACAAAAATAAGGACATAGAAAAACAATATTTTAAACTTTAGGGTTTCAGGTAAATTAATTATCTCTGCTAACACTAAAATGTTGTAGAGGTTTTGTTAAAAATATTCTATTTCCTTTTTCAGATGCTGCGCTGCAACATACACAATATTTATCTTAAAATCAACATTAATCATTCATACTTCGTAGCGAAGAGTTTTTATTTCATAAAAAAAATACTTCAAATATACAAATCAACATCTTGTTTGCGTCAGTAGTGGTGTAAAATATCTGATATAGTTTTTTGTAGGTTATGGTGACCGTTTTACCATTAGAAATGCTTATTTACCACTCTAGTGGTATAGAAACTTATCCAAATTTTTAACTATTCGTCATAAAGTACTAGGCTAACATATAACAGGCGGAGTTCTTTACAGATGTGTTTAAAAAAGAAAGTTAATTGTCTATGGTTGGCTTTATTAACAGACTATGTAATTAGTCGATTTTGGATTTCCTAAATTTTTATAATTTTAATATCCTGTTAGCTTAGCTAGCACTAGTAACTATGTAGAAATATATCGAAATGACAATTTTACTATAAATTACTAGAATTCAGTATCTTGGAACCGTTCTGATAATGGAACTAGGAGTTGAACAGTGGAATTCTTCAATGGCAACTCTCTTCCTCCCGACTGGTCTGCCGTTGAAGCCAAGAAATAGACAGCGACACCTTTTTTTTACTGTATAATTTAGTTCCCCATACCACTAATTTGACAATAGCGGGTTGTGACGTCACAAGTTGTTATCTCATACAATCATTCTACAGAGCATACCATTTTGTTCAGAATTTGATTTGCTTTTAGTCTGGGTTCTTTTAGTTTTTAGATAACTCTTCGCTAGAAAAAAATATTCCATTTATTATTATTAAAGGGACTAGCCTTTACTTAAATTAAAATCACAGTTTTTATTACGATTTTATCTATTTAGATATGAAATTTTATAGCCTAGATGTAGGCCTTTAAAGATTCTATGATACATTTACTAGTGTATGAAAAGTTATACGCGAAACAACACAACTATAAAATATTACCTTAATTATATGTCCCCCTGGTACATTTTTTTTATGTTAGAGAGGACAGACGAGCAGACGGATCACCTGATGGAAAGTGACCATCGCTGCCCATGAACGTTTGCAACGCTTCGTGTACGCTGTTTTCTTGAAGGTTTGAAGTTCGATTTGCCCGGCCCCCCCCTCCCCCAAGAATACGCGTTGCAGCCCAGATGCATGGCGTTCTGGGCGTGGACTTCATGAAGGGGATTCTCCAAAGACACTAACATGAGGGGGGGGGGAGATATAGAGGGGGTTGGGCTGAAATTTTGGGTACAATAAATATTAGCAACCGTGCCCATACTATGTGACCTCCCCTCAGTGTCCACCCGTAGTTTATGCAATTCATATATTTCACATAGTTATTCGTTCGTTTTTCAAGCATTTTTTGCAAATTAATATAATTTGGTTCGTATTAAAAATACTATGTAACCACCCACCGACATCTCAGTGACCACCCGTAGTTTACACAACAACATCCCCCTATACATCTTATAGGTTCCACCTAGTAATTAATACATTATATTGCTTTTAATCATTTTTTGCAAACAGAAAGTAAAAAAAATTGCCACATATACAATACGTGGCAACCCCCCCCCCCCCCCCCCCCCCCTCCAAAAGCCTAGTATTTTAAAGCCCCTCCTCCCTGAATGGGTGATGTAGTATACTCATTTCTCGTGCGGAAACTCCCAGGGTTCATCACCACACCAGGGACAAGTTATCGGTCTCGAACCGACTAATCGAACATGCAGTTCTACCACAAACTCAGGATGAGTACATAAAGCCAAAACCCTCCTCTCCCCAATCCAGATAAGAGAGGAGAAAGTGAATCAGAGCAAACTTGGTAACAATGTACCAGGGTAACATATCTGTAAAGATATATCCATCTAAAAAGTAATTGTCAATTTTCATACACTAACAATGTTGTAGAGAATAATCCCCATCGAATTATAATGTATTAGTTATTCAAATCAATATATAGAAAATGGAAGGGAAGGGGTTGAAACATTTTGGAATAAATTATCAAGAAAATGTACTTAAAGTAAGCCTACCGCACAACTTTGTAATAAGTTTGCCCCCGTTTATGGGTTCATCCCGTGGGTGATGTAAGAGCCGACTAAGGGAGCAAACTACGCAGGAAAACAGCACTGCTAAGAGAAGGAAAACTTGAAACAAACCCTATACCAACCCGTTTGGCCAGCGTGGTATAGTAAGCCAAAACCTCCTTTCTAAGGAGAGGCCTATGTCCAGCAGTGGACTGTTATAGGCTGTTGATAACGCTTAGGATTTTTTTCAATTCGAACCAGTAGTTTCTGAGATTAGCGTGTTCAAACAAACAACTTCTTCAGATTTATAATATTTGTATGATACATTTATTCCAAAATGTTATAATGATTGGACTGAAGTGAGGTAAATGTTTAATACCGCCAAATTTTTCTATAGTACCCTTGTTAATATTATATTATGCGACCTTAGGACTACTCGACGAACGCACCGTCTTATAATAAACTTTAATAATTCTGTATGTCGATTCTCGCTTACCATCCGGCGAGCTGCACACTATTAAATTATACCACCCGTTTTCTTTGGTGACGGGGATCTCTTCGGATCTCCAGCTGCTAGGAGATGGGGAGGACCTGGGCCGTGTGATTTGAGCCCCCCCCCCCCCCCTCCTCCCGGGTCGAAGCCGCACTAACTAGTCCCTAGCTAGTAGCTCGATCGCATAAAAAATAATAGAAATGTGCTCTAGACTACCCAATAACGATAATAGATATATAATTGTTTGCATTCTTAGTGGTGTAAAGAATATTATTTCATTTATTACGAAATAAAATGCCAAGCTATCATATTTCAGCGAGAGTTCTTTCTAAATACGTTTATTATGTCGGGTAGGTACATTCTGTTTGTCAAAAGTACCAGGCGTACAGCCAGGCCAGGAGTTATAAAATCAAAAAGAGTTCGTCGAGTAGTATATAACAATATAAAATAAGACTTTATATCCTTTAGAATTAGGTTTATAATTAAATGTATTTTGATTATTATTTATTTCTCACTACGTCTGATGTTTAGGAGACCTGCTTACCATCAGTCGGTCAACGATATTTTTATGATAAAATAATAATAATCAGAATGATTTAATGAAACAAAAAAGTATTATAATTATTATTATTAAGTGATAAACACAGCTTAAAATATGGCGGGACAACCCTAGGTTGAAAGTGATTTTTATTAATTTAATCCAAAATCTTAAAATAACACACTGCAATAAATTATGACATTATTAACGCCATCTAGTGGTGACATGCTGAACTACTTGGTAACATTGATGTTACATCGCGCAATCAAAGTACCAAAAATTTTGAGGAAGTTATTTTTTATATAAATTATAATTAATTATGAATTTTCGTAATTAGTTACTATTTCACGGACCAAATTACTTTCGATTGTAATCTCGGTCGTGGGTTCAATCCTAGCTTAGTGCAAATATTTGTTGTCATTATTGTGTCAAAATATCTAAATGCTGTGGTAAATTTAATCCAGAAAAAAAAACTTACTACCAAAACCATTCTCAATAAACAGTTCTATAATATAATATAAAATTAACAGTCTAATTCTTTCCAACTAAATTTTCGAACTAACATTTTAAAACGATTTTAGTTCGAAAATTAATTTAGTTAAATAACGCAACTAATGAAAATTAGGTATTCTAGTTCCATGTTTGTTTGTTTTATGGTATAAGGGGGGCAACCGAGCAGACGGGTCACCTTATGGTAAGCAACTATCGCCGCCCATGTACATCTGCAACTCAAAAATCACAAATGCGTTACTACCCTTGTAGTCCCTCCCGCTGACTTCAAGCGGGGGGGATTTGGGCTCCGGTAACCTCACTCACCACCATGTTTCACCATCGTGAAACTTCACCAAAGAACTTCCTTCTGAAGTCTTAAGCTTTTGGATTAAATTAATATTTTTTTCTGCTATTATCAATTGCCCTTAAATAGTGTAGAAATAGGATTATTATGCAATTATTTACAATTAGGTTTTAATTAATCATTGAGTAAAATAATTTTATAATTGAAAAAATGAGTGTAAACTTTTATGAATTAGAAATTACTGAAGATATAACATCCACTCTTTGCTCTTAAACCCATGGTTTGATGTTAAAAAACAAAATATAAACATTTTGTTTGTAATCAATTCATCGACCATTTAATATTTCCATATGTCAACTTATAAAAAAAACTTCTGGCAACTTATTTTGTACGAAAAAGTTATTGTGATTATTTATTTTTAATTTTATATAAAAAATATATAACTTTTGTATGCGTCGGTTTAAGTTTTTTAGTAACTTAAAGTTGTATTGCAATAAAACATTGTGACTATACATGTTTGTTATTTCCGTTTTGACCATCCCACTCGCATTCCCACTGCTGGGACTTCACCAGAAGTCAACTCTAGTAACATTCGTTAAAATTCAGTCTTTCGGTCTCACAAATATTATAAAAGGTATTTTCTTAGTAAAGTATTAAACATCTAACGTGTGATGTAATGTGATTATATCGTATTGTAACCGAAAATTGATTTAGTAATCTGCTAGTAATACTTTTTTTTTTTATATTGTACCACATTCACACAACGCCATCTAGTCCCAAACTAAGCAGAGCTTTTACTATGGCTACTAGACAACTGATATAAATACATATATACTTTTTTTGTAAATACATACATATTAAACATAGAAACACCCAGACCAAATCAAACAGTAAATGTTTATGCACACAAATGTTTGACTTGAGCGGGAATCGAACCGGCGACCTTTGGAATAGCAGTCCGTTAAACAAACCACTACGCCATTTCGTCGTGCACTTTACTACGAGAATTACTTTAATGTCATGTGTGAGGTTTCAGTGAACCCTCAACTCAGTAAAGTAAATTTATATGTTTTTCTAACATTCATTCATCATAAACGACCTATTGTCAATCTTGAAAGGTGGGAAAAATTAGAAACAAAAACAAAGTTTATTACTAAAATTGACCTTTAGAGCATAATAAATGTTATTATAGTACATTTATGTCATTAATGACATTTTTGTGTATGAACTCACATACAAAAGCCGTACCTACCCAGATTTTAAGTAGATTTTCGCGAAAGTACCAAAATTTATCTTAATTTTCAACTTTTTTTATTTTTTGTCCTTTATTTGTGCTGTAAGACGTTTCTTTTTGCCAAATTTCGTGATTCTAGGTCAACGGAAACTACCATATAGGTTTTCGACCTAAACGTTTAGGGTACTTCCGGTTGACCTAGAATTGTCAATTTTGGTTAAAAGCACAGGTATAGAGAAAATTCTGAAAAATAAAAAAGTTGAAAATTAAGGTAAATTTTGGTACTTACAAGTTTTCGCGAAATCCGAAATTTGCCCATATCTTTTTATCGTGTTGACTCAGAACCTTGATTTTTATACACCTAATAGGGACCATAGACCTCAGTATCTGGTATAAATTACAACTTGCTAGGTCTACCCGTTCCTGAGAAAATCGGTGGTGACACACGGACAAGAAAGTGATGTTATAAGGGTTCCTTTTTTACATATTGCGGTACGAAACCCCAAAAATGAACCATTATTGAAAAATTCTTTTTAATCCTAGGTATATATATAAGTATAATTTTTGGAAGGAAGTTCCTTATCGCGCGTTGTGAAAGGGGGCTAGACGGAAAAAAATCTCACGAAAAGTTGTAACGACACTTTTTATGTCAGTCATTCAGCGCCATCTATCAAATAGATAGGAAATCATTACCTTTCATCTCAGTATTTATTTTAAATTGTCACTTGTCAGTCATTCAGCGCCATCAATCGAATAGATAGGAAATCATTTCTCAAGGAGATTTTACCAATGTATAAATTGTTTTAATTAGAAACCAACTGAAAAATATGTAGGTAATAGCCGCTTCCATGGATGGCGTTGTAATTAAAATCGTATCGAATCAGTTTTACTCGATCGTCACAACTTCGTTCCTCTCGGGTGTCCCACGACACCACACGGCTTTTTCTTTATTATCTCGAGTTAATTTGCATACGCAAATTATTAAATCACGACCTCTGGACTCAATTGTCAGAATTACTAACCATTACGTCAAAAGGGAAGTCAATTATACATTTATTGCAGAAGCAGAAGCTTCCGGCGCTCTTTTCGCAGAAGGTGAAGTTAATGTGACGACTAATGACCAACCAGTCGAAACTAGAGACAAAACCAAAGACCAAGAAGCTACAGAAACTGAGGCACCAAAAGGCAGAGAACCAATTGTTTCTGGAGCTGTACCAGTAGCTTCCGAAGCTTCTGAGATCCAGGTTCCAGAAACTTCCAACCCAGAAGCTACTCTTGTGAGGCTAACATTCCAGCTCCTGAAGCTGCAAAAATAGGTGAACACTACTTCGAACCTAGTTGTCTGAGTTCACTAAATTTTTTAAATCTATACCATACCTACAATCTCAAGTTTTTGAGATTTCAATAAGTCTAAAGAATATGTGTGGTGACGGATTAAGAATACGTAATGTCACCACCCCTATTCACCCTGGTGTCGTAAAAGTCGACTAAGGGCGAAAAACTTCGCAAGATAACACTGCAAAGAAAAGGAAAACTTGAAACAAACCCTGTACCAACTCGTCTGACCAGTGGTATAGTAGGCCAAAACCTCCTTTCTAAGGAGAGGCCTATGTGATGTGAAAGAATTGAGACGCTGCCCCCCCCCCCCCCCTCCCCCCACTTAAGTATCCTGAGTTGTAGGTGTCCATGTACGACAGTTATCACTTATGATCAGGTGACCCAACTGCTCATTACCTTCCATTCTATACCATAAACATTACTGTCCATTCGACTGGCCGACATTTTAAGGTATTTTTAATTCGGATGTTTATATTTTACTAGCTGACTGTGTTTTGGTTCATATTTTCCATATTAAATCCCACGAGTGGGGGAGAACTAGAGGTCCACCCGGGCAGAGATCCCCCATTACCCGGGCAAGCGTAAGTTTTTAACCCAACCGAGGGGTCCGCAGGTACATCGGCTTGGAGTGCGCTCGAGACTGAACTTCCCATCAGCCATGCATCCCCTGGCCACGCACCAGAACACGGGATTCGGGGAATTTTTTAGAGAGGTTATCTTCCTCGCGGTCCGGGCGGTTAAGCCAAGACCCTCGCCCCCGATCAGAGCCGCGAGACTTAACCACAGCGTTCTTCTCGGGATTACGATATGCCGACGGTTGACAGGGAGACTACGTCCCCCTGCCTGCTCGGTGGTAGTGTCAGTACACGCCGAGCCCGTCCTCCTTTCTCCACCGCTGTCAGCGGAGAAACTGTGGCCCCTACAGGGCCCCGCCATCCGGTTTTTTACCGAGGTTTCCTCCTCCATGCTCCGAAGAGCGAAGAGCCAGCAGGGCAACCGGGAGACACGCCCACCCTGCTGGACCAGGCCTTGCCCGAGAGCCGATGAACGGCTACCTCTTCTGCTAGAATATTAGCCGCTGGCGATAATCCTCTCCTCCAAGAGGACAAGGAGGAAACAGTACCATCGCCAGCGTTTCCAGGGTGCACCACGGGGAGGTTTTCTAGCCTAGCACCCCAACCAAACCCTATACCAACCCGTCTGGCCAGCGTGGTATAGTAGGCCAAAACGTCCTTTCTAAGGAGAGGCCTATGTCCAGCAGTGGACAAGTAAAGGATGATGATCATGAATAAAATCTATCAACGGATTATCATCAACTTTAAAACTTCAGATTAAATTGAATATTTTTTTATAGTACAGAGAGCAGACGATCAGACGGGTGACCTTAATTGTAAGTGTCTGCCGTCACCAATATTAACCTCCAATTCAAGAGACAAGTGCGTCAAAATCCTGTGACGACCCACCTCCGCCTCAAAGAAAGTGTAGGTTCAAGGAGTTTAGCTGCCGTTTCCTCACTCGGTGAAAGCTATGGATGAATTGCCATAAACCGATATTCTGTCAAGCCCATCACTACAGTAGAACCTTTAATTATCGATATATTTTCGATAGTTAAAACCTCGACAGTTATCGAGATACAGCGTCAATCACTACGTCCTTCAATTTATAATCTTACTAGCTGACCCGCGCAACTTCGTCTGCGTCTTTCAATAGTAATAAATTTTCTCCGTTTTTGAAACATTCTTCATTGGTGCTCCGCTCCTATTGGTCTTAGCGTGATGATATATAGCCTATAGCCTTCCTCGACAAATGGGCTATCTAACACTGAAAAAATTTTTCAAATCGGACCAGTAGTTCCTGAGATTAGCGCGTTCAAACAAACAAACAAACTCTTCAGCTTTATAATATTAGTATAGATTTTTATGTATATTCGGTCATAACTCCGTCATATATAGACGGTATTCAACATTTTTTTGTTCCATAGGGGTTTATACCGAAATTGTCTTATTTAAATTTCGTAGAGAGCTGATGATGAGTTTCGGAGACAGACAACGGAACTCTTCAAAAAATGACAGCAAATGAACCGCTATTGCTGTTAAGTTTTTAGCGCTCTTGGTAAGTATTGTTTAAAGTCGGTTCAACTGTTTTTTAAAGGGATTTATCTGTAAATATTCACATAATTGGAAATAATAAAAATCGAAATAATATTAATTTAATTTATTTTGGTCCACAAAATGTACCCTATCTTAAATCGACTTACACTTAAATAACGTTTTAGAACTAAACTATTTACACAATTCACAATTTCATCGCTAACTATGCATGTTTCGAAATAAACTCGACTATTTCGGGGCCAAACCGGAGCCCTTCATCACTAAGCGAAGCGACCTGTTAGAACACCGTTATAGTTTGCAACTGTGTATGTTTCGGGAAAAAAATCATTTTCAGACCAAACTGGGGCCCTAGATCAACGAGCGGAGCGACCTGTTACGTTATTGTAATACTTTATAAAAACAGGAGAGTGTAACCTTACAACAATATTTCTGCTAATTTGTCAGATCAATTCATTTTTTACTCCACTTTTCATCTAAAAACGTCTATGAATTGAACTAGCATTCGCCCGTGGCTTCGGTCGCGTGAGATTTCATCAATCTATTTAGATATCTCCTAAGAACAATATTTTATCCTGGATATAAAGTATGTTTGTGCAAAATTTCATGAAAATCGATCCGGCCGTTAAATAATGAAAACGTTACACACAACGGGACACAACACTCACTTTTGCATATGTAAGTTTTTGGGGAGACCCTCATTTGAATTGTTTAGTCCCAGCAGAGGTCCTTAATTAAGAGTGGTCTGCCATGTCAGTGTCAACCAAACCCCGTTGCACCTTTGAGGATGTGTTGTGATAATTATGTCCAGAAAAAAGCATGAATACACCAATAAGGCATGGAGATGGAACAACCAAGAGAGAGACCCATCATCCTACAGCACAAGATAAGAACCGGGGGAGTCAAATGCGTCCCAGATGCAAACCTGATGCTGATCACGACCCTCAACACCAAGGACAAACCAAAAACAGTTATCAATAATATTAATCACTTCATGTCCTTTTAAAAAAGAAATAAAAAAAGATTCTTAGAGCAACTTAACTTTTTAACAAAAACAATAATATATTAGTTAACCTTAACCTTCTTGCTGACACTCTCTTCTTCATCTTCTCTTTCTCTTTTACTTTCTCTTCTGTTCTCTTTCCCTTTACTCTTCTTGCCAACACCTTTTCCTTTAGATCCTTTGGTGTAATACTCTTCTATTTTATGACTGTCTTCTCCGTTTAATGGTTCTAAGTCAATGGATTCGTCAAGGGCATTATTCTTTGGTTTTTCTAACAATATTTCGTCTTCGTCTGATTCAATAATGTTCTTCGGAGATTTTGAATGAGAGCTCCCTTAAGAAGAAAAGAATAGATTAACAATTGTCTTTCAGTAAATATTAAAAGAACGTACTATGTGACATGAAGGAACATGTCCTAGAGAACTCTTACATCAACCTATCGTGACTGGCTAAACCAGAATCACATTGCTTTTGAGTGGAGTCACGTACTCCTAATTTTTGGGGTAGAACACAAAGGGTGGGTAATGATCTTGTCTCTTGAGCTGCTGTCTACTTGCAGCAATAGCCACTTACCATGAGGTGAGCTGTCTGCCCCAGTCCATAAAGGCAACTGTGATATAAGAACGCACTACACAGATGGCATAGTGGTTTAAGCAGTCGCTGCGCCGTCTCCTACTGCGCTGAGTGATGTGGTTTAGATCCCCACATCGGACACCACTTCGTGTAATCTACAAATTGTTGTTTTGAGTCTGGGTGTTATTTGTGTCCGTTTCATTTATATTTGTAAAGTTCCCCGTGAAAAAGGATATCTATTCCTAATGCGAGAGTTGACTTTTTAAAAAGAAACAAGCACTGTTTCCTACTGAAGATCAATGGTCTTCACCCTTTTTTTTCCTTGCGGAAATCCCCTCGGATACCACCTATCGGTGGCATGTCGGACTCGAACCGACTAAAACCGCACGCCGTCTCGGGTACTAATAGCCGGGGAACCAGGTATACCCTAGAAAGGAAGTCCCTGGTGCAAGTCCCTGGGGTCGTCTACAGACGAGTAGACGACCCCCCCCGTGTGGGAACCCCATGTTCCCTCTGCTCTCTGAAAGCGAGCGCGCTTTGCAACGCGCTCGCCGCCACCCCAGCCTGCTTCTGCTAGGGTGACAGATGGCCTCACCTGTCACCCCCAGGCCTGCGCTTATGGAGAACAGAGGTCATTCTGCGACCTCCGGTGCCTGAGTCGCCTGCGGTACCTGGCCCGTTCCCGGGCCTGGCGGGCCGGGAGAGTTCTAAACCTCTCCCGGTCCCGCTCCGCCGTCTCCTTCGCGAGCATGACTTGCTCGCAGTTGGAGACGGCAGAGTTCCACGCACTCTCGCTCCGCACAATAGCCGCAATCAGGCTATCGAGCGAGAGAACTCCCACTCCGATGGCCGCCACAAGGTCTCGCCTCTGCTCAACCCACGCCGGGCACTCTGCCAGCGTGTGGAGAGCCGTGTCCACGGTCTGGCCATCGCAGTGGTGGCACTCAGGCGTTGGCTCCTTGCGGATCAGACACAGGTGATCCCCGAAACATCCTTTCCCAGTGATCACCTGCGTCAGTCTGTATGAGAGGGTCCCGTGACGCCTCTCGAGCCAATCCTCCATTACGGGTCTTACCGCCGCGATGACGGCGTGCCCGCTTCTTCTTCACCCTATATATTTTTAAGTCCTACCATTGTCCCGTCTGAAAACAATACCAAGAAGGTGGTGTCAGACGAGCAGCTGGCCATAAAAGAATCCAAATGCGTTGAAAAGACGACAGGAAGATGGTGGTACCACCAGACAGATACGAATAGAGATATTCAAGCATAGTATTTTTATACACACACTCATGCTTTTATAGCCGAAGGGGTGCACAGAGGGTTATTAAATATATATTTTTTATTATTATTTATTTATTTTTTATTAAAGACAACTCCCGCACTAGGAATAGGTCCTGTGTAGCGGGGGACTTTACAAACATACACATTTGTGGATCACACAGAGATAATATAAATAGAGGAAGCAAACAAGGTGGCAATTGAACCCACAGCCTCTGGCTAAGAAGTCATCCTGACTACCAACAGTCCAGTCAAGCTGTGCAAGTTACTGTTGAGACTGTCTACTACAAGTCTTCGGGTTTAGTTTAAATAACAGTATGTCAACTCACCAGCTGCCTGATCATCATTCTCTAGATCCACACCATCTTTCTTTTCACCTTCTTTGTTAATGAAAAAATTGGTGATTGGCTTCTGCCACTTGGGCGTCTCCCGTGGGCATACTGAGTTACCACCTCCTGTGGAACCACGGTGACCTCGTTCAGAGCCTAGAGAATATGAAAAATATTTCTTGTACATATATAGAAAACTTTTGCATGCGGCTCAGCCCGTGTAAATATCGTTTATCGCAGTTAAAAGCAGCCTCTGTCTTTCCTCAAGAATCAAAGTATCTTTATACAAAATTTAATCTAAATTGGTTCAGCGGTTATTGATTCCCCATACAAACTTCCACCCCCCTTTTCACCTCCTTAAAGGATGTTTTCTGGGATAAGAACTACCCTATATCCCGTCCCTGGACTCGGACGATCTCTGTATCAAATTTCATCTGAAGCGGTTCAGCGGCTTAGGCGTGAAGAGTGACAGACAGACAGACACTTTCGCATTTATAATATTATTTTAATAAATAATACTGTACCACATTCACACAACGCCATCTAGTCCCAAACTAAGCAGAGCTTGTACTATGGGTACTAGACAACTGATATAAATACATATATACTTTTTTTTGAAACACCCAGACCAAATCAAACATTAAATGTTCATGCACACAAATGTTTGACTTGAACGGGAATCGAACCCGCGACCTTTGGAATAGCAGTCCGTTACACAAACTACTACGCCATTCGGTCGTCATTACGTATGGATAGAATAATAATACCTTAAGACATCTCACACACGGGCATCTAAACATACAAAAGTGTGTTTGTCTGTCTTTGCCCTCTTCACGCTTCAACCGTTCAGATTTAGATGAAATTTGGTATTGATATAGTTTGAATCCTGAGAAAGGTCGTGGGATAGCTTTTGTCCCCGAAGTCATCCATTCAGGGGGTGAAAGGTGGGTTGAAGTTTGTATAGAAAATCAATAACCGTTTAACCAATTCTGATGAAATTTGGTTTGAATTTCAGAAAAGAGAGGCTTCTTTTTACTGCAATAACCTACATACATCATCATCATCAACAGCCTTTAATAGTCCACTGCTGGACATAAGCCTCTCCTTAGAAAGGAACCTACATACACGCGGGAGAAATCTAGTTGATTCATAAATGAGGGAATTCTGAACTAAAAATACCACCAAGTTGAAAGTTGGACGTAGCTTAAAAAGCCTATTACGGTGACATCAAGTTATTTGGGTAAACGATATAAAACAAGACTTTTAAAATAACTTGAAATAAAAGGTTATAGTTACTACATGTTGCATCATCATCATCAGCCTATTGCAGTCCACTGCTGGACATAGGCCTCTCCCATTGCATGACACTTCAGTCGATTTTCAGCTTCTCTCAACCAGCTCCTGCCAGCCATCGCCATGGATCGTCACTCTACCTGGCTTGTGGGCGTGATACGTTTGTCTAGACGCAGTCTCCACTCAAGGACTAGATGAATCATCAACAACAGCCTTTACTATTCCACTGCTAGGCCTCTCCTTAGAAAGGAAATGTGGGCCTACGAGTACTATACCACGCTGGCCAGACTGGTCAATATAGGGTTTGTGTCAAGTTTTCCTTTTCTTTGCAGTGCTGTTGTCATGTGTAGTTTGCTCCCTTAGTCGGCTCTTAGGAAACCCACAGGATGAATAGGGGTGGTGACACTAGTGAAATTCTTAATCCCTCACCACACCGATAGAATAGTTTTACTTAAATACCTGAACCGCTTGAAGTGCTCGGAGTTGGAGCTACACAGCATCTAGCCTTACTACTCTTGCCCGCTGATACTGCAACATACGAAAACCCATTATAATGCACTGACACATCTCTTACACGTGTTTTGCTTATATTTCTAAATACATACATATTATAGATGAAATACATACAGACATGGAACAAATGATGGTGCTCATCGCACAATTATTTGTCCTGGGTGGGAATCGAACCCACAACCTTTGGTTTAGTAGTCACTCACCACTTGGTTACAACATGTGGTCCAAGCTGAGACTCAAACTCGAGACCTCAGTACAGCATTCATATACGCTATAATAGATTAAATATAGGACAGAAGTCATTTAGTCATTCTATCGAATTATTACATACATCAACACCTTTAAATAGTCCACTGCTGGACATAGGCCTCTCCTTAGAAAGGAAGTTTTGGCCTACTATACCACGCTGGCCAGACAGGTTGGTATAGGGTTTGTTTAAAGTTTTCCTTCTCTTTGCAGTGCTATTGTCCTGCGTAGTTTGCTCCCTAAGTCGGCTCTTACGACACCCACGGGATGAATAGGTCTGTTTTAATCTGTCACCACACAGCTGGAATACAAGCTCACAGATCTATATTATTTGACCGTTTATTAACGCAACACCCTAATAGTGTTGCTGCATTTACTTTTTGCCATGATGCTTCAATCCATTAATAAATGTAGGTATAGTGCGACCGATTCTAGCATAAGGCAGGCGCCGGTGTCTTATTAACCAAATTCAATGTAGCACATGCTTACTGCACTCAATATCAAAGAAATGATATCCTGCTATTTACATAAAAATGTGCAAAACTTACAGATCTAAAGACTAAGCATTTCGACTCTATAAGGTAAAATTGTTTTTGAGTTTCAAAGAGCTTGGTCTAAGTGAAAATAGTGATGCATTCATGTTACATATTTCTGTAGACGTAACCCAGTCTGAGCAGACAACGATAGATACTGTAATTTTATGTAATCAATTATAGGACAGAGCCGTGAAACCAACAAATAACTTCCTTTTTGGTATTAGTTTTTGTGTAATCTGCGAGTGATTGCGACATAAAGTTAAACTCACCAAAGCATAAAACAATGTTAAAAACCCACCTTTAGCCCCTACCGAGGCTTTAGTTCGAGCCATATCTTTTTAATTCATTCACTTTTATCAGTTATAAATAATACTAACTAATAAACTTTAAGTAAATACGTTTTTTTTCCGAGAATTTTACAGACTATATAGCAGAAAAAAGCATCAACTTAATTCGCGCGCAAAAACATATTGTCGTGGTGATTGTTGATATTTTTGACAGTTTTTTTAATAATAATTAAACTAGGTCTGCAATCTGTTCTTTTAGCACAGAGCTATGTTAGAATCGTGATTATCTTAATTTGCTAAGCTTATTTAAGCTAAGCAAATTATATACAAATTAATTAGCAAATTAAGATTAAGATTTATCTACCGTACCGTTAACAATTTTGTTAACGGTACGGTAGATAAAATACAGAAATGTACTGTTCCTTCAAATATCTGTAATTCAAAGGCAAGCAACGCGCTTGTGCCTTCTAAGTTGCACGCGTTCATGGGCAGCGGTAGTTAATTTCTATCTAGGTGACAAGGCTGCTCGTTTGCCCCCTTTTTTACAATAGCTCGTTTGCTATTATAAAAAAACGCGTGCGTCTCGGGACGCCCGATAGAATTGATAACTAAAACTAATCTAAGTTGAACCATTTAATATTGAAATTTTTTAACTTGAGACAAGCTTAGGTTATTACTTAACTTTTGGAGACAGGAGGAGCCTGCCTACCGCTGCCGTATGCGTGTGAGAAAAGGACGCCAGATAGACTAGCGCCGAAACGCGTTACGTACCGAAGCGGTTTACCCTCCCATAAGAAGTTATCAATTTAAAAAAATGGTATTAATAAAATCCAATAGCAATTTTACAATCTGTTAAAGTGATGCTTTAAGAATCAAGTGCAATCGATTTCAAGACGAAGCGAAAGCGATTGATAAGGTTAAACAGCACATACTTAATTGTTAACAGCACATACTTAACTGCACGGATGGCGTAGTGGTTTAAGCGGTCCCCTCGCCACTTACTACGCTGAGTGTTGTGGGTCCAATCCCCACATGAGACGACACTTTGTGCGATCCACAGATTGTTGTACTGAGTCTGGGTGTTCTTTGTGTCCGTTTCATATATGTTTGTACAGTCCTCCGCGATACAGGATACATTCTTAATGCGGGTGTTGTCTTTTTAAAACAAATTAATAAAATAATGTTCTGGGTAGAAGTAATCATAGATTGTATAAATCTAGTCAACACGAGTAAAACACTCACTATCGAGAAAATAGCCAAACTGATTTATTTCGGTAAATTACAATGCTTTTATAGAGCATTGAAAACAATTGACAAAATCCACAACATTCTGTCATTGATGTTGATGATCTGTCCTTTGTGATACTTGTAATCCATAGCCTTTGGCTTAGTCATCAGGGTCACTAAAAATTAGATCAACATGCCACTTAGGTATTAGGTATGCAGCCTAAGTATTAATCGTCCATTTAAAATTGATAGCATTGGAGTATTTTTGATATTGGTAGAATAGGATAAAATTTTATTTTTGTGTTAATGGTATAAATTAAAATATTATATTGAAAGTATTGTATTGTAAATTTGTAATTATTACTTTTGATCACATGATATGTGGTTTGTTATTTAATATTGTTAATCAACACAATCGAGCTTTCTCAAAATTAACAAGTTTGATCTACGATCGATTGAGAACTAACTAGCAACACTAGTTTACATTGATGCTGGCTTGGCTTCAGATTAAATAATCTGTGGCATTATCGGTGGTATCGGAATATTTTCTGTGGCATTCGTTTTAGGTTAATAAGCGAAATATTTTGGGAAATATTGTTTTATAATTTAATATCTGAGTTTAACGTTTTAAATATAAGCAGCCCCAGTGGTTATAATCTTAGAAGTTTCAGTAATGTATATTTAAATCATCACTTCTGAACAGGTAATGTCATCTAGCTAGTTGTTACTGTATTGCCGAAATCGTAACGGTTTCCTGCATTCTTTGCTTAGAAGTAGGCGCAGGAAGTTAAGCTTTTTAAATATTTGGCTATCAGTATGTCAAAGAGCAAAATTAAATGATGCAAGCGGATGTTGTTTATGAACCTTAAGATTTGGTCAAAAAAATTTGTTTACTGTGTTTTATTTTCATAGAGAAGTTAAGTATGTTTTAATGTTATATTATGTGAATTAATTTTGTTTATTTAAGCTATTGCATAGCTTCTATCGCGGGCCTTGAGCGTGGAGACCGAATCCAGAAATTCCGTAACGAAAATAACCTGCGTCATCATCTGGACGGAATATATGTAGCTCTAGTATCTCGGGAACGCGCGAGTGACTACTACTCGCGCTTAAAACGACTCATCTGAGGGCTTAGTGTAGGTTTATTTCACTTCTACTCGCTCTCGACAGAGAGCACGTTCGGCGTAGCGATTGGTGACGATTACAGCGCGGCCCAATCACAGCGCCAAACGCGGTCGCAGTTACGATCGAGTAGAAGTGACATAAACTCACACTAAGCCCTCTGTGTGCTTAGTGCGAGTTTTCTCACCTATTCACATGCGAGCGAGTAAACTATAATTAATATGACATTAAATTAGCGCCACCAAGCGACACGGAAGAATAGATAATCAACCGTTTGTGAGAAAATATAAAGGTGTATAGTTATTTATCATCTATGTACAACAGTGAATATCTGTACTCGTATAATTTGTGTACAAAGTGTTTTTAAATATGAATAAACAAAGTGAATTTATTAAAGAAGAACGTCACGAAAAATTAGTGAAAGAAAATGAGTGAGTACTCTATATACATACATTTTATTATTATTATCACAAATGCAGTATTATTTTTTGTTTTGTTAATTAATAACCAGATAACCAACATTTTTGATATTAAAATGAGCGATATTAAAAGTAGCCCTTTTTTATATACACACACACACACACACACACACACATATAGTTAAAATTCTCAATTTAGATTCTCAATATGTATGTATATATATATGTGTAAATTCATTCTTCATTATGTATATAACAGAAACCATTAAACCAAGCACATGTACTATTTAGTGCCTTTGTTTTTTATGTATAGGTAATACACATTAATGCCGTGCAGAGAAAGTATATATGATATTATATCTATATAAATGTACATCATTCAAAATGTACCCAAAAATTAAAGTGCCAGTAAAAAAAACTGTGTCATCTTACGGAAAACAATCTTTTAAACATTTTTTATTATTACAACAAACGTCTACGACCAACTTTTAGACCCAAAATGGATCTCCGAAAATCATAAAACAAGCATACACAATACAAGGTATTTATGTGTAGGTATTAGTGTTATAAAATAACTAATAGTATATAGCATAAAATAATTAGGCTTTTTGTCATATTATATTATTATTAAGCGAGGTTAAGTTATTCTTTATCATCATTATTTGATTTTTGCTATAGTAATGAAGTAAAAATTGTTCAGACAAACTCGTATAAATGCATTTTTTTATTTCGAAGTCATATAACTCATAAGTAATCGGTCTTAGATCTTAGCCGTCTTAAAAAAAATTCTTAGAATGTCATTCTCTAACCGATAAAACAATTTTTTTCGTTGGCGGGATCTTTTTTTTTTGGGTACTTTTTGTATGGAGCGTGAATGATGTCCTTTGATGATCAAACTATTAATATCGTTATTTTTGTTCAAATTTTTTGAATGAATAATTGTTTTGGTGTGTAATAAATAATTATTTATACCTAGATTTTTTTTGTTTTTATAGAGAAGAAAAGCATAAAGAGCTAAAAAAAGAGCTAAAAAGACAAAGAAATCGTGAACGTCAAAGGGCATATTATCACCGTCAGAAAGATTTGAAGAAGAACGAAGAAAAAAAAAAAAAGAAAGTACCAAAAACAAATGCTGAACGTCAAAGGGAATTTCGTCAACGTATAGCAGAAAAATCCTACGTGGATATGTAATTTGATTTAATAATATTTAAAAACAAATTGTAATATATGCCTCAAAATTATTTAACTTTACGATTTCCTCATTTTTTTCACAGGAAAAGACGAAAATCGTGCAGTAATGAAGAGAATGTCTTGCAAGGTAGGGCTGTTGAAAATATAGAAAATGTAATGCTACAATTTCACAGCCAAAAACTTCATATTTATGATATTAACTTCTCATTTAGTTAATAAAAGAAAAACATTTGTTTTGCTATCGGTCACCACGATCAAAAAGTGTAACTTGAATTAATATCAAAGAAAAAAGAAAGGAAAAATACTGCATAAATAAATATAATTGCATAAGTTGATAAAAAATGCTATGCAATAGCTTTACCGCGGCAGTCCCCGAGTGCCACACGTCTTTTTTTTCTTATTTATGATTTTTTTAATGTAGAAATTAAACTATTTGAGATTATAACATCTTACATGCATTTTAACTCTATTTTTCTCGTTTGTGCCTCCAATAATCCAATTCACATCTTCACAGCTGGCCAGAGTCCCTTTTGTCACTCCGGTTGAGCCAAATTCCTCCCTCTTAAATAAAAATAATAATATTTTTAACACACAACATCTAGTTTCAAACTAAGCAGAGCTTGTACTATGAAAGCATATATATGAGTGACTGCCAGAATACTTATATACTTTTTTTTTAAACCAATCACATCACATCACATCACATCAACAGCCTTTAATAGTCCATTGCTGGACATAGGCCTCTCCTTAAAAAGAAGGTTTTGGCCTACTATACCACGCTGGCCAGGCGGGTTTGTGTCAAGTTTTCCGTCTTTTTGCAGTGCTGGTGTCCTGCGTTGTTTTGCACCCTTAGTCGGCTCTTACGACACCCACGGGATGAATTGGGGTAGTGACATTCCGTATTCTTAATCCGTCACTACACGGACATAACTTAAACCAATAGATGATCTTTAACTAATAGTTACCAATTTTATGAAAAAATATATTGAATTTGAATATAATTGGATCTGTAATAAAGACATAGCATAAAATTGCTTCATCAATTCTGAAATTAATGCTAACAAAAAAGAATTAGTAATGCAGTCATGGGTTGACTCAGTCTGTGACTGGACTGCAATAACGCCCAAATTAATATTAATACCTTCACAGTTCGCACAAATTGCTGTCTGATCCCAAACTAGGCAGAGCCTGTACTATAGGAACAAGACTACTGATAAAAACACTTATATTTCTAAATACATATTCATCTTTTATCATCATCATCATCAACAACCTTTAATAGTCCACTGCTGGAAACAAGCCTCTCCTTAGAAAGGGGTTTTGGCCTACTACACCATGCTGGCCACATGGGTTGGTATAGGGTTTTCCTTTCCAACAACTTTTCCTTCTCTCTGCAGTGTTGTTGTTCTGAGTAGTTTTTAAATTATTTATCTAATAATTATTATTATTATCTATAAAATAGTTTTTTTTTTCTTGTACACTTAGATCTTTTAAACTAAGCAATAGATTTTAAAGCGGTTTTCACCAATAGACAGAGTGATTCAAGAGGGAGGTTTATATGTATAATACATGCATAAATTAGTAGAGAAAATCTGAGAATTTCAAAGATTTGTCGTAATAAACAAGTGACAAAGTGCAAATTACAAACACATTACTAATGATTGTGCTTATCCCCCACTTATTTGCCCTGGGTTTGATTCAAACCTATGTCTTAGCAGTCAGGGTCACTATCCACTAGACTAACCGGCCAGCCATATCAATATTATAATTTATCATGCAAAGTGAAAGTTTAAATATTGAAATAAATGCCCTTTATATTTAAAACATCTTTTTTTAACTCTTTCTATCTTCTTTTTTAGCTCTTACAATGGAGGATGACATAGATATCGAAGAACATGATGTTCTGGACAATCCAAAGATTAGAGATATATTTCCTGACTTATCTCTGGTCAAAACTGAAGTACCTGATACCATAGAAGACATAGAAGGTAATGCATTTTTTTTTAAAGACAACTCCTGCACCTGGAATATGTCCGGTGTCGTGATTCTTTATTCAGAACAACAATATGTGCATCACACAAAGTTTAGTTCCATGTGAGGATCGACTCCAAGGCCCAAAGCCCAAAGCCCAAATCTGACTCGAGCTAGAGGGACTCCAAGGGCAGCAACGCACTTGTGACTTTTGAGTTACAGGTGTCCATGGGCGGCGGTAGTTGCTTACCATCAGGTGACCCGTCTGCTCGTTTGCCCCCTTATATCATAAAATAAGATTTTAAAGTATTTGGCTACGAGGGTCTGAGGTATCACTTCATTTTGGAAAAGGGGTCTCTTGTCCAAAATAGTTTGGGAATCCCTACTCTAAAGGAATAAATTTTCTTAATTTTTGTAACAGTTAGCATTGATGCTCTGCTCCTATTTGTGGTAGCGTGTTATGTAGCCTATATCCTTCCTCGTAATATTTTCGACTTTAAATGTTATTTTGATACCATATCCTGTAAAACTATGTCACATGTAATCAGCCCTTGTCCACAAATTAAGTATTATTTACCTATCAATAGTCAAGGAGTACCATATTACTTCACATACATATATAAATATTTAATTCCATGAACATATTTTTGATGTTTCCACAGAAGCAGTAGATGAATACTACGAACCATTGCAATATCCGACAGAACACTATGGAATAAATATAAAAAAAGAAAACACAAGTGATGAAGATATCATTGGCTGCCAGTATGAGCAAAATAATAGCGCTATTGTCGAGCTTGGTGAAATCGGACCATCTAATGATGATATTCCGCAAAGTGTACTTTCTACATCCCAATTTGGGCAAAGTGAACTTGCTTCATCTCAATTTGGGCAAAGTGAACTTGCTGCATCCCAATTTGGGCAAAGTGAACTGAACGCTTACGAGTATCAAGAGAACGCAATAAGTCCTTATGAATTTGGGCAAAACGAAAGCGCACCTTGTGAATTTGCAGAGGATCAACAATTGCATTTCAATAAAATTATACTTGGTTCTAAACCTGCATCAGATTACGACACTTTATACAAAGAAGCTTTACATTCTAACGTGTCAGTGTATTTAGAAAATTGGGAAGTCAGACTCAATAATAGCGCATGCTACTGTAATGACTGTGAGATTCTATTCCCAACGGTCAATGCTTTAGATGCTCATAAGAGCATAAGTCATTCCTTCCTGGTGGCATTAGACACTCCAAGACCTAATACAGCAAGGAAGAGTACCACCATAACGTCATCTAGGTACTGCAACCATTGCAATAAGATGTTTTCAGATGACACTGCGTTAATAAAACATTTGTACGAGTTATTACCGTTGAACAACTTTAGGAAACCAACACCAGAGCCACTTAAAATTGACGCAAAATCCACGCGTTACAAGTGTATAAAATGCAAGAAATATTTCGCGACATTTGCAGCTGGTAAAGAACATAAGAAAAATCATCATCCTGAATTAACGAATGTTAATATTATATGCAAAGTTCTAGCTAAGAATGAACAGTTATCAGACCCGGTAAAGAAAGAACATCCAGAAGGAAAATTTTTCGCAAATGAGTCGTTGGTACCAAAGTCGGTTTTATTCCAATGTTACGTGTGTCAAATTAACTTTGTGTCATGCTATAGTGCAACTCAGCACGCTGTGAGATGCAAAAATAACACTGAATATCATAAGTGTAAAATTTGCAAACGTAAAATTCGTGCAAAGGATAATTATATACACACATTGCAGCATAGATATGCGGAACCCGGTGCTAAACTAAGAATTTACACTTTACAGAAATATATGTCTGAAAAAGTGTACCTCAAATGTCCAAAATGTTCAATATGCTTTGACGAGAGAACTTTTTCGGTACATTACGGTGTGTGTAAAAACGAACGCGTTAATTTCGTACGTTGTAGAATTTGTAGTTTAGATATCAATCAGTCGCGATATCCAAATCATAAATCGAAACATGTCATGCAAAAGTGTACTAAGAAAGACTTTGTAATCATAAAGTTTTATGATACAAATCGGGTTAATTCAGTGGGGATCCCAAAACAGTTCGATGAAGACTTTGAACCGATGCAATCAGAAAAGAAACCTATACCTGAAGGAGAAAAGATACCACTGTACTACTGTAATGTTTGTGGGTCATATAAGACATATTCGACTCAAAGAGGACACAAGAATGAGGCGTGCAAAACTCTTAGCGTTAAATTTTGTGATTTGTGTGGACTTGGCTTCAGTAGAGAAAACTATAAGCAACATAGAGAACACCATAACAAAAGGAAACTAACTCTGAATGACTTTAAAATAATAAATTTAAAGACCGGAGTGGAAATGGAAGTGCAAATGTCAAACTTTCACAGTTGCAAACGTTGCAAGATACACTTTTTGTCGCGAGAGAGAGTGCAGTTGCATGACTGCGCAAAAGAACAATTTGAGTTTTGTCAAATTTGCAACAAAAAATTTAACCTCAAAGCTTTTGTACCCCATTCGAATCTTCACAGTAATACCAATATACCTGAGTTGTTGAAGAAGTATAATTCAATTAATGACATGTGGAATGTCGTTTATTTATGTGTTGCATGTGATTTGGTGACGATGACGTATGACTCAGCAGTGGAACACAGTCAAAATCATATAAATGATATACAAATACCATTGGTCAAAAGATGTGATGTGTGTGAGTTTGACATAATAGAACAGTACTACAGGACCCATATGCAGCTCCATAATAACAATGTAAAGATCAACAGAACTAAATTCAGAGTCCTGACGTTTAACTTTGAACATTTGTATTCAAAACAATGGATGGAGATGTTTTCCTCGCTGCCGCAGTCTCATAAATATCAAATTTTGTCTAAAAGTATATATAGGTATGTATTTCAAGCTTTCAGTCTGTGTGGTGACGGATTAAGAATCCAGAGTGTCACCACCCCAATTCATCCCGTGGGCGTAAGAGGCGACTAAGGGAGCAAACTACGCAAGTCAACAGCACTGCAGAGAGAAGGAAAACTTGACACAAACCCTAAACCAACCTGTCTAGCCAGCGTGGTAGTAGGCCAAAACCTCCTTTCTAAGGAGAGGCCTATGTGCAGCAGTGGACTGGTAAAGGCTGTTGATGATGATGATTTCAAGCTTTACAGTTTGCCATAAATGTCTGGTAATCTATGAATTAAACTAACCAAATTCTGTCAATGCAGATGTGAAAGTCTTACAAAGCCTGGGACCTAAGATGGATCCTTGTGAAACTCTACCTCTATTATTGTAAAGTAGCATTTTATTTACTTAGTTTCACTGAGAATAATACACTAAACGTGAAGCCTGAATAACTCTGTGATAACCCGCTAACGTGATTAATAAAATACTTCACGCTTTTTTTGCAGGTTCTCTCGTCTCATCAAGTTCAATTGCGAAATAAACTGCCTTTCAGAAGACGTCAAGGTCTTCTGTAAGAAATGCAAGACTGAGGTTCAACTAGAAGATACAAAAAAGCATCGATTTGAAAAAACTTGTAAATCGTCCACAAATTACGTATGTAAAATTTGTGATTTACATTTTAATTCTTTACGTGATTTTGTTTGCCACAAACAAGAACACGATAGTTTATCCAAAAATTATAAAGTAATAACATTTAATGATAAAAAAGACGAAGTGTTTGATCAAAGATTGAAAGATTTCGAATTGATGACAGCATCAAATGATTCTAAAATACCATCTTTTTCTCAGACGAAGTCTTTTAAATATTCAACCAAGGGTTTTCCGATTAAAGCTTCTAAATTGGGCAAAAACTTATCAAAATTAAAAAGCATATGCGCTAATACCGTGAGGGAAGAGGTCCTCAGAGCCAACAGAATGAAACTTTACAAGTGCGAGAAGTGCGGCTCATGTGTTAGCATGTTAAAAAATATTGCCAAGCACAAGTGTTGCATGTTTGGAAAAACGCGTCTCAAACTATGCTACATATGCAAGGAATATTTTTATAATCGCCATTTACATCTACATATGGAATTGCACAGACAATTTCCACGACTCATGAAAAAACCTCTAGTGGTACGTTTTAATCCTAAATGTGACTCTTGGCCGGTCGCTAATATTTTTCAATGCGAATGCGGACTCCATTTTACTTCAAAACAATCGATTGATAATCATTTAGAAATATGCAACGATAATCTAGAAATTTCTAAAGAAGAATGCAGCAAATGCAACCTCTTGTTCCCCACTGATGTTTTAGTAACACATCTTTGTAAGCATCATAGTAAACCAGTCGACATAAGGGTTCAAGTTATCAGCAATAAAAAACCACGACCATTGAAATGTGCCGATTGCAGTATAATTTACTCATCCGTAAAAAGTTACGATGAGCATTTGTTCAACTGTAGAGCTAGTAACGGCAGAACGTGTTCACGGTGCAAATTAACATTTGATTCGAAAACGTTCTCTCAACACAAATGTTTGATCAACGAAAAAATATCTGTTATAAAGAAATCTGCGTGTGTATCAGTAGTTTACCGTTGCCAATCTTGCGATATCACTTATTTGAACAAAAAGAGTATAAGTTATCACTTTGAGAGGCGGCATGTAACTCAACGAGACATTGTAACTTGTGATATTTGTAAGTTGAAATTCACCTCACAAAGTTACAGCAGGCATACAGCTCACAATAATGGGGATACGTATATAATCAAAATTATCGAACCTATGACCGGTCGTTCAAGCATTCTTAAGGGAAAAAATAAAAGTTTTAAGGAACGTGCTAAAAGCGAAAGTGATTCGAAAGAAGAAATTGAAACGGTTGTCGAAGCTGAATCAATAGAAATGGTAAATCAAGAAAATGTCTCCGTTAATGAGACAGATAAAGTAGCAAGTTGCAACTATAGAGTTTTTAGATGCCATGAGTGCAAAGCGTGTTATGTTGTCAAAAAACGTTTGGATAGGCATCTGATGTTGAACCATATTGCTAAACCTGATCATCTTGAATGCGAAGTGTGCGGTCTTACATTCCAGAAGAAATTAATGCCGAGACATATGATTATCCATCAAAATGACGAACCGGAATACTGGATTGAAGTCATCGATTCTGATACTGGCATATCGACCATACTTAATGGCAAAAATTTTAATCCAAATAAAAGTGACACTTCTGTTAATAGTAATAAACGCAGTTCTTATTTCAGAGACTACAATAATTTAAGAAGTAAAAGAAGCAGAAGAAACGATGACAGTATTCAGAATGCGTCCGATGAAAATTTAGAGACTCAAGATCAGCCAAGCACATCTAAATTTGGCTTGGAATCTGTCGATATGACCGAAGACTATAATGAAACAATGTTATTTGATGCAAATGATCCTTTGAATTCTACGGAGTCAATTTTTCTCGATGACGGCACTTTGGATGATACGAAAAAATCAAAAACTGTCGCAGCGCATAACATACCAGAGAAATTAAAAATTAAACTCAACGCAAACATGCGCAATTACAGCTCTACTCTTTATAAATGCAAGATGTGTAGTTTGCACTTCTTGACGGACGGTTCAATTCTTTGGCACGTGTCGAGGAAACACAACAGGCAATTTCCAGGATACAATTGCGTTGTATGCGGCTTGAATTTCACTTACGCCACTCTACAAAGACACGTGTATATACATCACAAGAAAATGAAACTAGATAAAGATTCGTTCAATATAAAAGTTATAGACGAAAATACAACAAAAATAACGAACGAAGAGACGCTCCAACAAGACCAAATGATACCACAACCGAATGCACACGAAGAATCGCCTGATAAAAACGAAGAAGTAATCCCACCACCTAACGTTGATGATAATGCAATGGACGCTAGTTTGCAAATCGATGCAAAAATACATTACTACAAATGTGGTGATTGCAACGTTTGCTTTATAGACGATGTTACTTGTCGCGAGCATTGTATATCGCACACTTCTTTAGATCCTAAGTCGTACATTGAGTGCAAAATATGTAATTTCCAATTTTTGATCGATTCGTTGAAGGATCATGTTAATGTACATCACATTGAAGAATTCTTTTTAGAAGATTTAGTTATAACTGAGTATTTAAGTAACGGGGACGATGATCCAAAGGTTGAAGTGTACCAAGGCATCGATAAGGTTCAATCTAGATTGGTCAGTACTACAACAGACGTCGCGACCGATGGTTGTGACACTGAAATTGTTGGTACTTGAAGTGCAAAATCATTTTCTACAGGATAGTTTTTGACTAAGTTTTAATGCTGGTAAAATAAATAAAACATTTGTACATTAAAAGAAACTCGTTAAGTTTTGTTCTTGTTTACTTGTATTTTGCGCTAGTTTTATATTTTATACAGTGTTATCGAAAGGTTTAGTCATCTTAAGTGTAGCTTAAAAAAGGACTTTCACACATGTTCTGAATTTTTATATAAATTTCAATGCCTGTTTTTGTATCACCAGCTAAATTGCAAAGGCGCGTAAGAGCAATTCGCAAAACCGTGTGTCAATATTTTCTGATGTTTCAACAATTATATACAGGGTGTAAGGGACATCGTAACGAATACTGAAATAATGTATTTAGACCATGATTCTGAGTCGAGAATCATTGGAATTTCCATTTCTTTTGGTTTAAAATGATATCACCATGAGTAAACATCATTTCACCGATTCTTTTTTAATAAATACCGCATACGGTCAAAAACTGTAATGTAATTAATCAAATGACCGAAACGCGCGGGACCTCCCCTCCGGCTGCTAACTTGTGTTAGTGTGCGTAGACTGTTTGCACGGAATACACGTGTAGTTATTACTTTTGTGCGACACCTACGGGAAATGACCTTTACCTTTGACAGCTGATTATCTCGATATATCTGAATATCTTAATTTAGTGACTTTTGTAAATACGCGAAAATTTTGCTCTTAGAGTTAGATCAAACGAGCGAATTAATTTGAGTTGTTATTTACGTTACGTTACGTTACGTTCAGTTTCATACCAAAGCCCTGTTTGTCCTGCGGTACAAAATGAGTTGTTTGCTGACTCACGCTCAATATTTAAATCCAGTTGCTCTCAGGGTGTGAGGGCGGGGAGCTAGTACAGACTTTGGATAGCGACAAAAGTTATGTAAGTCTGTTTGGCAGCCTAGCCGAATTTCATTTGAACGTAAATTGCGCAACTGAAAATACGCAATTCAAGTCTTACAAAATTACACTCGTATGGCCGCACCCTTACATGTCATGGAGAATTTTCCAAACAAACCACCAGTACTGACCAGACTGCACAGATGGCGTAGTGACGCCGAGTGTTGTGGGTTCATACACTACCATGGGACGGCTTTTTGTGTGACCCACAAATTGTTGTTCTAACTCTGGGTGTTCTATATCCGTTTCATGAGTGTTAAAGTCCCTCGCGACGCAGGATGTATTCCTAAAGCGGGCGTCAACTTGTTTCTTAAAAAGAAAGTATTGGTAAAATATACCCATCATTCATTTCAGCTCTTCCCGCTTACAAATTTTTATTTTATCGGTCAATTTTCAAATTTAATTGGCTGCATTTTTTCTTAAAATTTTATATTTAAGGGACGCCACGACCCTTAATAAACACACTGTTTATAGTCTGTCAATATTTTGATCTTTGTAATCAAAATAAATACCAGTTTGATGCGATTGACGACCATTTTACTCTATCACAAAATATTTGTGAATTATTAAAAAAATATTTTGATCTCCTGTATTTAATGTATTTTAGCTTTAAAGTACGTTTTATTAAATTTTGACCTAGAAATATGTTTTAATTAATTTATGTTTAACATATTTATGGGAACGGGATTCGTCATACATGGGTAGAAGTAATAAATAAATTAGGGGGAGACGCATGGGCTAACTCGATCGGGTTGATACTGTGGCAACGGTGCTTTGTACCGAAAGAGAGGTTCTTGGAAAACCATCCCAGCTTCTGCCTCAGACGTCAGTGGTGGTAGCAGTCTGCTCGTCCCCCCCCCCCCCCCCCCAAACTACATAAAGAATCATTTACTATTAGTAATCACTATCAATGAACTTCACTTGAACAGTATTTGTATGTATGTATTTGCGTGGTGCACCGTACAAGATGGCCGCCTCGTCCCATTTTGAAAGGTCAAAATGACAGCTGTCACTGTCAGGTTGACGGTTAGTAGTCTTAACATGATTGGTGAAGAATTGAGTGCGAGCCAATCGCATTAGGCCCTCTAATATACCTTTTTTTATGCAGCGCAATTCGAAACGTGTGTTAGTAAAGCAGCGTCCACACTATGCCGGGCGAGGCCGAGCGGGCTGACCCGGGCGGCCTAAGCCGGGTTGGTGTGGACGCCCCGGGCGGCTTAAAAAGCCGACCCGAGCCGAGCCGATCCCAACCCGCAGAAAGTAGGTACAGATCAAAGGATGCCGGCCCGAGCCGAACGAAAATATGTAGTGGGGACGTGCCGAGCGGCACCGGGCGGCTTTAGTTGTCCAGTCTTGGTGTCGAATTGAAACTAATAGGTAGATATAACCCGGGCGGCCTCGTTTTCGGTGTGGACGTCGTGCCGGCCCGAACGATCCCGCCCGGGTCAGCCCGCCCGGCCTCGCCCGGCATACTCCGGCATAGTGTGGACGCTGCTTAATGTTTAACATCTTTTTAGATCAAACGCTTTGGTATCAACTCAAAATAATTGTCCTTGTCATCTAATAATATTCGCGGATCTAGGGCCTTACTCATTCGTATCCCGTATCTACGAATATACACTTTAAATGGTTAGATACATTACTAGATTGTACTCACAATTAAAATGTTGAATCTTCAACGAATTTAGAACTTGTAAACCTTAAATCCCACCATTTTTTTTAAATAAAGTACGTTTATTGTTTTTACTTCACCCAGCCGTGTCTTAACTTAAAACGAGCGTTTTAGTTTGAAGCGAGACTTAAAATTTTCATGGTCAGGTCATGGAGAATGCCTGCCGTGCCAATCCAAAAGACTGTAACTCGACTTACAGTGTTTTGCCTTAACAACGCTCAATCAGCTTTCAAGGTCAAACGTCGTTTTCAAAAGTTACAGTGTATTGGATTGGCACCGCAGACGTGTCATATAAACACATCACACATCAACAGCCTTTAATAGACCACTGCTGGACATAGGCTTCTGCTTAGAAAGGAGGTTTTTTTGCCTACTATACCACGCTCGCCAGACGGGTTGGTACATGGCTTGTGTCAAGTTTTCCTTCTCTCTGCAGTGCTGTTTTCCTGCGTAGTTTGCTCCCTTAGGCGCCTCTTACTACACCCACGGGATGAATAGGGGTGGTGACAGCCTGTATTCTTAATCCGTCACTACACGGACGTGCAGACGTGTAATGTAGCTATATCGCAAGAAAATTCAGTGGAACACTAACATGTGGCGCATTCAACTCGAAGACGCTTCGTAAAACATGTTAAATAATGTTAGGGTATGTTCTAGACCACCCCTCACCCTACAGATGAAGCAGATTTATTTTTCTGGCGCTATGATTATATATTATCTATCTACATCTTTCAAAAGGAATGAATTCACCGCTTCCTACTACGCCGAGTGTTGTGGGTCCCACATGGGACGACACTTTGTGTGATCCACAAATTGTTGTTCTGAGTCTGGGTGTTCTTTGTGTCCGTTTCATGTATGTTTGTAAAGTCCCCCGCGACACGGAAGATATTCCTAATGCGGGAGTTGTCTTTTTTAAAGAAAAATAACTTTACTCCGTTTTTGCAATATATTTCATTGATGCTCTGCTCTGGTCGTAGCGTGAACTTATTCAGCTATCTATACTAATATTATAAAGCTGAAGAGTTGGTTTGTTTGTTTGAACGCGCTAATCTCAGGAACTACTGGTTCGATTTGAAAAATTCTTACAGTGTTAGATAGCCCATTTATCGAGGAAGGCTATAGGCTATATATCATCACGCTAAGACCAATAGGAGCGGAGCACCAATAAAGAATGTCTCGAAAACGGAGAAAATTTATTACTATTGAGAGACGCAGACGAAGTTGCGCGGGTCAGCTAGTCTTCGATAAATGTATAACAATTAAACATTTTTTTAAGTTCCTGAGATTAGTGCGTTCAATTAAACAAACTTGTCAGCTTTAAAATATTAGTATCAAGGTATTATTTATGTTTCAAAGTGTCTTCCATTTTATAATACAATATTTTGTTTAAAATTTTGTATTAAAATTATATATTTAATTTTCCAGATATGGTAATATTCTACATAGATATCACGATTGATGACCTATGTTACTACATCGACACTGAATTTATTGACAGTCAGTCTATTGAGACTGAATTTATGTTAGTAGAATACCGATATTTTGACCTATGTCAATGGCATCTCAAAAGCTTGTTAATGGAATCACGGTGGCTTGGCCTTAACATAAAATAGCAGAATTGAGGCCCAGGTCGTCGTTTCACCGTTATAAAAGAAAAAATGGTTAAAAATTCATATTTATGATAGCTATAAACATACTACTACTCCGTGTCTTTCTGAGATGCTCGATTGGTTTCGGACTCGACGGGGGCTTAGCATCATGGTCATCTCCCATGTTGCGGCAATATGGGCCGCTCGACCGGAGTGTTACTGCTGCGTCCAGAATATCCTATGTTAAGCAATTCTGTCGTTACATTTCATCAAGTGAGCTTACCGGAGGACCAACCTTCCCGTCCTTATTCAACTCCTGGGGGGGGGGGGGGGGGGGGAAGCATCCATAGGCTATCAACGCACGTAGGTCTATAGAATTGTAGGTGTCTATTGGCGGCGGTAGTAACCATAAGGTTACCCGTCTTCTCATTTTTCCATCGCGGCAGGGTTCACTCCTGAAACAAGTGCCTCGTCGTTTCTCAAACCGGTCGCATGGGAGTAAAAACTAATCACATCACAACAGCCTTTAATAGTCCACTGCTGGACACTCGAATACCACGCTGGCTAGACGGGTAAAACTAAATTACCGGTGTTACTACTAGTAGTAACTCAGGCAATAAAGTAATCGAATACCTATTTTTAATTTGATTAAGAGATAAATTATAATATTCTTGTATATTGTTGAAAAAGTTTTTTTTGTAAATTAATAATAGTAAATAGGTTATATACAAAGAGTGTGGCCGTGTGTCTCTGATACCATCGCCTTAGATTTAAGTGTCGCAGTATGTTTGGCGCGTTTTTGTTTAAGAGTATTTTGTCAAACTTGAAATTGTAAATAAACGTTTTTTTTTGTAAACGGCGTTTTATTTTATTTTTACTTTATAGGAGCTTATGTCAAATACAAAAGTTAACATGGTACTCTGTAAACAAAGAAGTGAGGCCAATTAAAACTATCGTTATCTGTTAAAACGTCACCAAAAATGTTTACAATATTGACAAGTAAAAATATCGAATTGTGCTGTGAAAGGATGTCAAAATCAAACTACAAGATAGTATAATGAAATCGCATTTCAAACAGTAAGCGTAGAAACCAATATTTTCAATTAAATTATGATGGCGGCAACCTCGCACACATGTTTATTAAACCGGCGTCACTTAATTCTTCGCAAAGTGCCTTTTTGATTTAACTGAGTATAGGAAGTCAACGCGCAGACAGACACAGATGGAAGGTAACTACCGAAACTTATGAAAGTTTGAGGTGGTACCGGCCTTTGAGGTGGAATTACGCTCTTTTGGTAAAGGTTTGTGAGTGGTATCGGTTAGGATTTACCGCAGGCGACAATTTGTTCTCCACATTGGTCGTGAGGCATTTTTTTTTAAGAGCACAGTGGTTGAGTGCCAAATTATCCAAGTGATGGGGATAGATGACACACAACAGAAAGAAAATGTTACAGAGAGAAAACATGGGAGACATTTTGACAAAAAATTGTGGCAAAAATTAGAGAGAGATAGGTGTAGAAATCCGTTAGGTTTAAGATATTGAGATTAGAAACAGGAGATATAAAGAAATCGAGGTGTATGAAGTATCATCAACAGCCTATACTAGTCCACTGCTGGACATAGGCCTCTCCTTAGAAAGGAGGTTTTGGCCTACTATACCACGCTGGCCATACGGGTTGGTATAGGGTTTGTTTCAAGTTTTCCTTCTCTTTGCAATGCTGTTGTCCAACTTAGTTTGCTCCCTTAGTCGTAAGAGCTGAGTGGGTGCTGGGTGTCGTAAGAGCCGACTAAGTATGAAGTATACTTAAATATAAACATAGGTTTAGGCTATACGCCAGGTTCGCCAGGCCCGAGACCGGGCCAGGTACCGCAGACGTCTCGGGCGCCGAGGTCGCAGACCGATAAGCGACCTCCATAAGCGCAGGCCTGAGGGTGACAGGTGAGGCCATCTGTCACTCTAGGAGAAGCAGGCCGGGGTGGGTAACGGCCCTTCTGAGCAGGAAGGGAACATCCGGGTTCCCACACAGGAGGGGTCATCTATAAGCCTGAGGTACGTCGGGTAGTAGGACTTTCCTTTCTAGGGTATACCTGATTCCCCGGCCACTGGTACCTGGAGTCCGACATAATCACCCACTGGTGGGTGGTATCCGAGGGTAGTTCCGCACAGAAAAAAAAAGGTTTAGGCTATAAATAAAACAACACAATAGATCAATCACAACATTATAATTATTTTATTTAGTAATTTTTAAGGCGGCATCCATGAGTGTACTATTAATTAAGCATATCGCAATATTCCCTATTTGATTTAGTTTTGGCTCAATATGCAACAGTATTACAGCATTTGACTGGTTTCTTATGTAGCCGGCCATTTTCCTTGCGACTACCCTCCATGGAGATATAATAGTTTTCAGATGGGACAAAGAAGTATGTAGGTTTATTTTGTTGGGGAAAACGGATAACCAGGGTAGCCGGTTGTCCTGGGTGGGACACACGACCTCCGGTTTAGCAGTCAAACCAACAGGAGCGTCAAATTGAGACTTCAGAAGATCGAAGAGGTTGGTTTGACGTACTTTTCCTGGGATCCTGGGGCTGGAGAAGCCATAGGATAGGAATATTTACTATAATATTAAATTTAAAAACCTGATTATGCTATCTATGGACTTGTTTAAATTTAATCTAAAAAGTGCAACGATTATATAATAATAATATTTCGGACATCTGGTACACAGCGCCATCTAGTTTCAAACTAAGCAGAGCTAGATTGACTTATAGAACACTTATATACCTTTTTGTTTGTAAATACATACATATTATACATAGAAAACACCGACAACTCCGAAACAAATATTTGCAGATCATACAAACATTTAGTCCGACCCGGGAATCGAACCCGAGACCTCAGAACAGCAGCCGCAAACACTACCACTGCACCACTGAGGCAGTCCAAAGTCAAAATTGGGGCTAAAACATTTAACAAACCTACAATAAAACAGGAATTGTAATAAACTATTATTCATTCCTTCTCACCCTTAGGGGTGGTATTTTTTCTTAAACAAATTTAAAGAAATGGGAGCAAACGAGAAATATATCCTCCTAAATAATAAAAGAATTATCCAAATCGGGTCAGGAAATGTCGAAGTTCTGAGGTAACCAACATAAAAAAAGGTGAGTACCTCGTCACTTTTGTAGATGGTTAAAAATTATATTATTTAGACGCACTTGGGGAATTAAATATGAGACTATTGTAATTTTTACTAAGTATTTCAACTATTATGCTAGTAAAATTGTTTTTTTTATGGAATAGGGGGCAAACGAGCAGACGGGTCACCTGATGGAAAGCGTCTACCGCCGCCCATGAGCGCCTGCAACTCAGGAGTCACCAGCGCGTTGCCAACCTTTGAGGAAGGAGTACGCTCTTTTCTTGAAGGTTTGAAGATCGTATCGGTCCGGAAATACAGCAGCCGACAACTTATCTATACTAATATTATAAAGCTGAAGAGTTTGTTTGTTTGTTTGAACGCGCTAATCTCAGGAACTACTGGTCCGATTTGAAAAATTCTTTCAGTGTTAGATAGCCCATTTATCGAGGAAGGCTATAGGCTATATATCATCACGCTAAGAGCATAGGAGCGATGCACCAATGAAGAATGTTTCAAAAACGGAGAAAATTTATTACTATTGAGAGACGCAGACGAAGTTGCGCGGGTCAGCTAGTACATTTATAAAGATGTACACATAGCGTTGAATAGAAAGAAAGACTAGGTCCAATTTTAAGATCATAACATATAGTCGACAAATAGTAATTTAAATTAGATTTTTCTAACGAGAAAATTCTTTTTGGGCATATTTTTCATGCCATTTTTTATGTTTTATCTACAATCATTTCTAGAGAGGATTGAACGTTACATTAAGATCATAATTCATAATATATTACACCTTTGGTAAGACAAAGGCATGAATGACAAATAATAAAAAGTAAAAACTTAAAAATTAAACTAAATACGATTTAAGTTAAACGGTCTTATTGAAAAGCAAGATAATAATTATGTAGATAATGCACGAAAAGCTAACATATGAAATCCGCCATTTTGTGGTGGCGGCCATTTTGAATTTGGTTTCTTATAATGTACTGTCTTCTACTAGTCACATATTTCTAAATACATATCATAAATAATATATATATATACAGCAATATCTTTTCTATAAAACATCTAAAATTTTGTTAATGTCAACCTTAATAAATATTTGTTAGGTAATTCGATAGTTAAGATACAAAGAGACAACGTGACGTTGCTAAATTAACTAAAGCGTTAAGGGATACGTGCAGAACTTGACCAGACACGTCGTGACCGCCGCATCTTGTAGCATCATGTTCTGTTCAAGGTCAAGAAGGAGAGGTGCAGATATCAATTATATAATAAAAGAAAGAAATAGAGATTTTTGAATAATTTCTTCTGGTTTTGTGTCGAGTGAGATCACTCAGACGTCAGTACTTCAAAGTGGAGTTTTGATAGTCTCTTCAAGGTACGTAAGGAAAGATTTGTGTGATTCTGCCGATTCCCCTGTAAAATAAGATAGAACTATTTATTTTTCTGAACGTGGTTGCAATACCAGGGGAACACAGAGAACTGGTGTTAAGCAATATTAGCGAGAGAGTGAGGTCACCCCCACAATTCTTGAGAGGTGGGGGGACTGAAGGACGGTAACGCGTTGTCTGTATGTATTTTGCGTTGAAGGTGACCTTGACCTTGGATGCTAGTAGACAGTTACCTGTTAGTAGTCTGCTTGTTTGACCTTCCCATCTTCACATATGAACATTTTATTATTATTAACATTATATAGAGGTATACTTGTTTTCTTATATTTGTTATGCAGACGCCCGACCAGTTTAGGGCCTGACTGGGGTTCTTCATCAAGTGGTAGAAAGACTTAGCAGTATCACACTCAGAAAGTGGGAGTTCTTTGTGTTTCTAAAGTCCCTTGTGGCACTGTATATATTCCTAGTGCCTCTTCCTTCTTTAACGGTTTTTTTAGACAGTGTTGTGTACCTTGTGCCAAGTCCTGCTGTGAAGAGAAGTCGCCTGCCCCTCACGAGGTACTCGGGACAGCGCACGAACCTGAACACCACGGACGCCGACTCGTCTGCACGGAGCACTGCGTTTAGAGTCATGATGCCCTGGTAACAATAATAGCTGTTATAACAATCCGTCTGCGGACGAATTAAGAATACAGAGTGTCACCACCCACCCCTATTCATCCCATGGGTGTTGTAAGAGACGACTACGCCAGACAACAGCACTACAGAGAGAAGGAAAACTGAACACAAACCCTATACGAACCCGTCTGTCCAGCGTGGTATACTAGGCCAGAACCTCATTTTCAAGGAGAGGCCTATGTCCAGCAGTGGACTGTTAAAGGCTGTTGATAATTAACAATAATAATAATATTGTCCCACATTCACCATACGCCATCTAGTCCCAAACTAAGCAAAGCTTGTACTATGGGTACTAGACAACTGATATAAATACATATATACTTTTTTTTGTAAATACATACATATTATACATAGAAACACCCAGACCAAATCAAACATTAAATGTTCATGCTCCCAAATGTTTGACTTGAGCGGGAATCGAACCCGCGACCTTTGGAATAGCAGTCCGTTACACAAACCACTACGTCATTCGCCATACTACAGTTAAACCGCCTTAAGCTTGGCCCTCCTGATGGTTTGGGGGACGCGGGGCGGGGGTGCATTCAACCAATTAGCTAGTGCGTCGCTGTCCGCCGGCAGTGACTGACGTGAAAGCGTGGCTGTACGTGTTATTTTTCTTAAGACTGCTACACACGGTATTATTTTGCAATATGGATAATCTGCCGACTCTGCCTCACAAAAAGATTTAAAAACTTGAAGTTCAGCTTACAGAGGTTCTACTGTTAAAGTTCTAATAAAGAATATTTATTATTTTACTTAATTTTTAAATTAAAAGGTGATTTTATTAAAATTATTTTACAGTATTAAATTTAACAATTAATCATAAAAACTTACAATACACTGACATTATAATACATGGAAATAAATTCGATTCTTATTACATCGTGTGTAGATTAAATCTCAAACAAATAAATCTGAAGATATCGAGTAAGTACATCGTGTCATGTATAGCCGAGCGCATCACCCGCCCCGCGTCCCGCAAACCATCGGGAGGGCCAAGCTGCGGCGGTTTAACTATAGATATTTACCTCTATTATAGCTGTCTGTCGGACATTCCCAACATGTACTGTGCATTGAAACCCAGGATAGATGGCAGTGGAGTGGCGAAGAACTTGTACTGACGCCTGGAAATAAAATATATTAAAATTAGCCACTCTTTCTCATTATGATCTTGTTCTTTCTTTTTTTTTTAAAGGCAACTCCCGCATTAGGAATATATCCTGTGTCGTGAGGGACTTCACCAACATACATGAAAAGGACACAAAGAACACCCAGACTTGGAACAACAATTTGTGGATCACACAAAGTGTCGTCCCATGTGGGGTTTGAACCCATAACACTCGGCGTAGTAGGAAGCGGCGTGGCGACCGCTTAAACCACTACGCCATCCGTGCAGTCAATATTATTTGTAGTTAAACGTCTGCTGAAGCTGTTATGAGACATTGACAAAATGGACACCTTCGGACATCTTCGATAATCTATTTCCGACCTTATGAGTACAGAGATAAAGTTCATAGTGCCGTGTTGCGTTTTGTTTTAGGAAACACGCGCTATTCTCGCAGTCAACGAACTCTCTAGATTTCTAGAAGGTAGGTAACAATATTAAACATCTATACAAATAAATAAAATTGAAGTGTCAGTTTGTAATGTCAAAATTATAGTTTTTTTTCATGTTCACACGGTTATTTCCACGATACCTATGCCTAAAAACCAGTTTAAATATTTTTTGTCTGTCTGTCTGTTTGTTCCGGGTAATCTTCAAAACGGTCGATTTAGATAATATTTTACTACCAGATAGCTGTCTATATAAGGAGTAACTTAGGCTATTTTTTTCATCAGAAAACCCCTATAAAATGTTACCCGGACCGGGAATCGAATTCACTAAAGCAGCGCTTTTCAAATTCCACGTAAACGAAGTCGCGGGCACTAGCACCATCTTTCAATATAGGCAACCAGAGAGTTGGACAATAGATAGATGCATCTATCTCTTTCCAGCCGAGCTGTTATTGGCTGATGAATATGAGGGGTTAATAAGCCAATCGCAGCTTAGCTAAACAGAGACAGAGGGAACTATCGGGCATCCATCTCTCTCGTTGTCTGTATCGCTTCCACTTACAGGCAGCTGTACCCCGTGGTCTCTCCATGCTTATGGTATTATATCTAATTAGTCCCGGATATTACCGAGAGATGGCATTAGTTGTATTTATTATATATTTTCCGTGTGGTGACGGATTAAGAATACGTAATGTCACCACGCCTATTCATCCCGTGGGTGTCGTAAGAGCCAACTAAGGAAGCAGACTACGCAGGACAACAGCACTGCAAAGAGAAGGAAAACTTGAAACAAACCCTATACCAACCTGTCTGGCCAGCGTGGTATAGTAGGCCAAAACCTCTTTTCTAAGGAGAGGCCTATGTCCAGCAGTGGACTATTATAGGCTGTTGATGTGATGTATTTATTGATGCTGCCTAGGGTATACCTCACCTGGAAATATATACATCCTCTTGGGTCGTTTGGATCTTCCAGAATCACTTTGTCACGGCACAGGCATTCCATACAATCCTGTAAATAATATTTTTATATTAAAAACCAGTGTTGTTCTGTTATGCCTCTGTTACTTTTCACTGAGTGCACTTTAAGCTCTTCCCCTCAGAAGATTCTTGGAGGGGGGGGGGGAGGATTGCGACTCTGAGTCTCAGGTGACCATGGGTGCTATGGTGCAATATACCATAAAAAATAGTGGCACTCCGGTACTGCCGACAGAAGTAAAATCCTAACATTTTTTTTTTATTATTTAGTTAGTAAGTACCAAAATTTAAAAATGTTGGTACTTACAAGTTTACGCGAATTTGCCCATATCTTTTTATCGTGTTGACACAGGACCTTGATTTTTATACACCTAATAGGGACCTAGACCATAGTGGTGGAGATGAACATTTTTGGTTGGTTAGATAGGTCAGCTGATAGCAAGTGACTATCATCGCCCATAGACACATGAAACTTAAAGAGACATAAGTGCGTGCAAAGACTCCCTCCCTCCCCCTATGTTGCTGGAGGGGGAGGGGGGAGGGACGTTTAATAACTGCTTAGCTTCAGTTTTCTGGGCAGCGGTGTCATTACCACCCATTATTAGGGACCATAGACCTCAGTATCTGGTATAAATTTCAACTTGCTAGATATACCGTTCCTGAGAAAGTCGGTGGTGACACATGGACAGACGGACAAGAAAGTGATCTTATAAGGGTTCCTTTTTTACCTTTTGCGGTACAGAACCCTAAAAAAAAAACACTCACCTGGTCAAAAGTGTTCGCTTCCATATCAACCATATCTTTGCTGAGAGATTCTTCAACTTTCGAAATATCCTGAAGTAAATTCTTATTTCTTTTCACGTTCTTCCTAGATTTTGTTTTGTCCGCTATGTTTTGTTCTATCAACTGTTTTATCTAGAACAAAATGTTTATTATGAAATAAAAATAAAACTAAAACATGATTATAGGTAGTCTGGTAGGCGTAGTGGTTTAAGCGGTCGCCACTCCGCTTCCTACTACACCGAGTGTTGTGGGTTCAAACCCCACATGGGACGACACAAATTGTTGTTCTGAGTCTGGGTGTGCTTGGTGTCCGTTTCATGTATGTTTGTAAAGTCCCCCGCGACACAGGATATATTCCTAATGCGGGAGTTGTGAGAGATGTTTATTTCTGTAAGTAAATCTTTTCAGATATTTTTAAAAGTCGGACTTTACAGCTAGATGGAGCCGGCATTTGCTAAGACTCCGAAACAAACCACAGAGGTGTCTTTTATTTTTTAGTCCATAAACAAAGTTAAAGAAAACTTTGCGAGTACAGTGTAGCGTCCGGGTAGGCCTTTAGAAGAAAGGACCATAGTTTTGAGTAGGCCTGTCAGACAGCATACGAGTCCCAGCCATCGTGTAGCTTAACCGATGTTAGTCAAGGTCATTGTTATTGTTTTCAATAAGTCATCATCATCATCATCATCAACAGCCTTTAATAGTCATAAAGGAATTATAGTTATAAAGGAGGTTTTGGCCTACTATACCACGCTGGCCAGACGGGTTGGTAAAGGGTTTGTGTCAAGTTGTGTCAAGTTACTCCGGTCGAGCTGGTCAGATAAAGATTTTTTATTTTATGTGTGGCAACCTCGAGTCGTCACTTCACTTGCGACGGGTGGTTTTGTAGGAATCGAACCGAATAAAACCACGGGTTATTAAAGACATCCGGGGCGGGTGGGTAGGCGTACGGACCTGTCGCTGCTGGCAGGCGCCGGGCGGGCAGGCGCCGAAGGCGGGCGGGGGGGGGTGTGCGGGGGGCGCGGGTCCTCAGCAGCACCATGCCGGCGCGGGGCGCGCCCCCCGCGAGCCCCACGCTGGCGCACGCGCCGGCGCGCACCCCGCCCACGGGCGCGCGGTTGCGGTAGATGCTGCGCACCACCACCGGCGCGAACGACCCGTCCTCCAGGGGACCTGACAAACACCGCTCACATCATAAACCAACCTGACATCTCGCTCACGGCTGTCAGTTCCATAATTAGGCAAAGCTTATACTATGATAACTAGAAGGTCATTCAAGGAAGCGACTGCACGAACGGCATAGTGGTTTAAGCGGCCGCTTACTACTACGCTGAGTGTTAAGGGATTTATTACTAGTGCGAAAGTTGTGGTTCAAAACAAATTACCGTAATAAAAATTAAACGAAAAATCAGTTCCGATCAACTTAAAAACTTACACTGTCATCTGTACTAATATGATAAAGCTGAAGAGTTTGTTTGTTTGAACGCGCTAATCTCAGGAACTACTGGTCCGATTTGAAAAATTCTTTCAGTGTTAGATAGCCCATTTATCGAGGAAGGCTATAGGCTATATATCATCACGCTAAGACCAATAGGAGCGGAGCACCAATGAAGAATGTTTCAAAAACGAAGAAAATTTATTACTATTGAGAGACGCAGACGAAGTTGCGCGGGTCAGCTAGTAAAAGATATTTTCGTAATAAAATAGTAAAGTATTACTAAAACTAGCAGATTACCGATTCAATTTTCGGTTACAATTCGATATAATCACATAACAGTCAGCGTTGGATGTTTAATACTTAGACTCCGCAAAGCAAAATTCTGTGACATAGTGAGCAATCTGAATCTAAATTAAAAACCTGTGTTTTGATTTCATTTCCACGGAATTTCGCAAAAAATAAAACGCGCCGTGAAATATCACTGTGCGAACAAACCCTTTACTACGAAAATACCTTTCATGACAACTGGGAAATAAAAATTGATCGGAACTGAATTGAGACCGAACTTTTATTACGAGAATTGGCCTTCAAACTGCTGATGAACATAAATACCTACTCATTTATTTCTAAACGTGGGCAATATTATTAACTAACTGCCTCGACAAGTTATTAGTCTGTTAGTTAGGCTAATAGAAAAAAAGGTACAGCAACCCCCCCCTTTTTTTTTTCGTACGGAAATCCCCTCGGATACTACCTCTCGGTGGCATGTCGGACTCGAACCGACTAAAACCGCACGCCGTCTCGGGTACTAATAGCCGAGGAACCAGGTATACCCTAGAAAGGAAGTCCCTGGTGCCCTGGTGCCCTATAACACGGTAGATACGTTGTAGGAGAAAACTCGTAGGTGTATTCTCGTATAATGCGCTTGTACAAATGATTTACGTTTTACTTTTCTCGTTCAAAGGGGTTTAAATTGAATTATGAACTCTACAAATCATTACCTATAAATTTCACAGTACAGAAATATGACGTGGGAAATCCCCGCGTTATACGGGGGAATACCCGTGCGTGAAATTGCGTAATAAGAGTACCGTGTTATAGGGGGGAATTACTGTAATATTAAGAGTAACTACTTTGTCTTTGAACATTATTTGAACAGGCATAGATTAATTATCCATAAAGCCTAATCAAACTGAAAGCATATCAAAAATTAAACCTCAATATCTTTAATTTCTATAAATTAAAATAATAATAATAATACGGGTAGCTTTACCTCTTGACTAAGCACCCCAATTAAACCCAACAAACAGTCAGTCATCACATCACATCAACAGCCTTTAATAGTCCACTTCTGGACATAAGCCTCTCCTTAGAAAGGAGGTTTTGGCCTACTATACCACGCTGGCCAGACGAGTTGGTATAGGGTTTGAAGTTTACCTTCTCTGTGCAGTGCTGTTGTCCTGCGTAGTTTGCTCCCTTAGTCGGCTCTTACGACACCCATGGGATGAATAAGGGTGGTGACACTCTGTATTCTTAATCCGTCAACAAACAGTCAGTACTTACCGAGAATGACAGTATCTCCCTCGCATAAGAATCCTTTAGCCAGCAGACCACCAACAACAGGCGAAGTGCTGTCACCGACATGAAAGATCTCATCAATTTGGAATTCGCAGCCATCTTCCTGGAAATAAATATTCAGGTTCAAACATGGAGCACCAGGGACTTCCTTTCTAGGGTATACCTGGTTCCCCGGCTATTAGTACCCGGCGAAGGCGTGCGGTTTTAGTCGGTTCGAGTCCGACATGCCACCGTCAGGTGGTATCCGAGGGGATTTCCGCACGGAAAAAAAAAAAAAAAAAAAAGGGTTCAAACATGGACTACTCGGAGCTGTCGCAAGCAGCTTCGCTCGCATAATATCAAGCACTAGTGACCTCATGCTGCCCTGAAGAGACAAATGTTTTGATGCTAGGGGGGGGGGGGGGGGGGCAGGTTGGTCTCCGAGATGACCTCAGTTAAAAAGTACTAGGGCGACAGTAAAGTAAAAGAGTTCTCATACTACATTTGCACTTACGTCGTCAGTGCGGTGAGGCCACGTGCTCAGGTGATCGTAGAGTAAGGCAAGCACTTAACCTATATTTTGAAGTGATAACTTCTTATAGGGAGGGTAAACCGCTTCGTTACGTAACGCGTTACGGCACCAGTCTGTCTGGCTTCTCTTTCTCTCACGGCAGCGGTAGGCAGGCTCCTCCTCTCTCACTCTAACCCGTATTTCAACCAGACGCTTTACATAAAATTTAAGTAATAACCTAAGCTTTTCTCAAGTTATACAATTTCAATATTAAATAATTCAACTTAGAATAGTTTAAGTTATCACTTCTGTCGGGTGTCCCGAAACGCACACGGTGTTTTATTATGCCCTTTTACTTTGACCAGTTTATGCAGAACAGTGCCTATTTTGAAAATAGGTACTAGGATAGCATAAAAACTATAGGACACAGTCAGTACAAATTATTAAAATCGTTCGACTGAACCAAGACCAACTCGAAAAGTACCAGGGCGACAGTAAAGTAAAGGAGTTAACTTACGTCATCAGTTCGATGTGTGGTCACGTGCTCGGGCGGTCGTAGGGCCAGGAGGTAAGCGTGTAATGCGCTTATACCGTTCCCTTTGACACAGCTCACGGGAAACACCGGGATAATTTCTGACTCCGAACAACTGTAAAAAGAAGTGTGTGTGTCAGCTCCGACGCACGACTGGAGTTTACTCCTTAAGGGAGCATACCCTGTTTGCGTACAAATTTAGTGATCAGCGCCATCTATGTAAATGTTAGTAAAATAATTAGAAGTCACGTATTAATTGCCATTTACTTTAGGGTATATTCAGTTTTAAAACAATTTAACTATTCTACTCAGCAAACTGAAACAAATTGCAATCATAGAACTAACAAAAAACTCACAAAAAATATTATTACAACCACGTAAAAGTAAATAGTTGAACATGCCATCTATAAATTACATTTAGAACTAAAATATACAACGAGGTCATTCGATCACTGAATTTTACTCGTCATATTTTTTTATACCGGGCGCCTTAAGGAGTATATTCCACAAAGAAAATGTACAGAACATGGTCAAAATCTAAAATAGTGATATCAAAATATTTATTTGTGTTCATATTGAAGAAATTTCGTTTTACGAAAATTTTAATTCATCACTTTCTTGTCCGTCTGTCCGTGTGTCACCACCGATTTTCTCTGGAAATTTATACCAGATACTGAAGTCTATGGTCCCTATTAGGTGTTTAAAAATCAAGGTCCTGAGTCACCACGATAAAAAGATATGGGCGAATTTCGATTTTCGCGAAAACTTGTATGTACCAAAATTTACCTTAATTCAACTTTTTTTATTTTTCAGAAGTTTTTTTTACTTGTGCTGTAAGATCTTGCTTTTAACCAAAATTGACAATTCTAGGTCAACCGGAAGTGCCCTATAGGTTTTGGGTCGAAAACCTATATGGTAGTTGAGCTAGAATCACATAATTTGGCAAAAAGAAACGTCTTACAGCACAAATAAAGTAATAATTCCAAAAAAATAAAAAAGTAAGATTTTGGTACTTAAAATTTTCGCGAAAATCTACGTAATATCTGGGTAGGTACGGAACCCTCGGCGCACGAGTTCTACTCGTACCTGACCAGTTTTTATGTCTTAAGCACCCACTAAGAAAGGATTTTTGGAAATTTCACCTCTAAGGGGGTTAAATAAAATATGAACGGTCGTATGGAATATCCTCATTAAGTCAAGTTAACACGAATTAACAAATAATTAGCTTTCGAAGTCTCGTGAATTGCTAGTTTAAAATAAAAGACGACCGGATGGCGTAGTGGTTTGTGTAACGGACTGCTATTCCAAAGGTCGCGGGTTCAATTCCCACTCAAGTCAAACATTTGTGTGCATCAACATTTGATGTTTGATTTGGTCTGGGTGTTTCTATGTATAATATGTATGTATTTACAAAAAAAAAGTATATATGTATTTATATCAGTTGTCTAGTACCCATAGTACAAGCTCTGCTTAGTTTGGGACTAGATGGCGTTGTGTGGATGTGGTAGAATATTATTATTATTTCTTTATTTCATTCTTTATACATATAAATTACATTTTTAAATATATTTATATACAAAAACAAAAAAAAATACATTTAAAAATATAAAAAATAGTATCCCATCGGTATCGGGTACAGAGACCAAGATATCGGTGGTTAGGACTCCAGAGACAGAAACTTCCTCACAATACGTGCCGTATCGAGAAGAACTGCTTTCTGCATCAGACCCTTAATCCAACTGCCTAACGCGAGCCTCTGAAGATGTTGGTCGAGGCTCTTAGCAACTAATCCATGGGCCGATATGACTATCGGTACAACGATTGCTGAATCAACATCCCACATGTCGACAATCTCGTGGGCTAAATCCAAATACTTCACTTGTTTATCTTTTTCAGCTTTCAAGAGATTGTCGTCATGTGGAATGGTAATGTCAACAATCATTATTATTATTATTATTAAAAACTTACACATCCTTAACATCGTGCCTGTTGTCCAATGAATCGATTATAAGTTTCTGTGGCGCGACGCAATTCCTTGCCAAGTTCTCGTCCGTGATTAGAACAGGTTTCTAGAACAATAATAATTCATTACGTTTATTTTTTTAATTACCAATATAACTTGAACCGTCATTGTATAGACTTTCCGTACCATGACAGACAAACATATACTGGTTACGCGTAACTTAATCGTCGTTATCGTTTTACATATTTTTTTAAGTTTGTGGCATTTTTGTTTACATCATTTCTGTTTACATAATGTACTAATTTTAGAATTTTAGTTATAAAAGGGTAAAAAGAATTTTCTGTATACCATGTGAGAAAGAAAGAGTGGAAGAAAGAGTCATTTCGCTTTAAAACCAACATCGTCCGATACTCAAGTACCAGGGTAGCATAATATAAAAAGAGGTGTTTGATTAAAAATAGGACGTGTGGTACAAGGAATTATCTTTAGGTATTATTTAATGTATGTAGAATGAGAAAGAGAGCGCCAACATCGTCCGATTCTCAAGTACCAGGGCAACATAATATATAAAGAGGTGTTTGTTTAAAAATAGGACGTGTAAGGAATTATCTTTAGGTATTAATGTATACTAGCTGAGACCCGCGGTGTTATCCGCGTTTGTTGTTATAACCGCGGGCAACGCCGCGGGGCGAAGCTAGTCTAAAAAAAGTAGCCTAAGTTACTCCTTGTGTCATCAGCTATCTGCCAGTAAAAGTCCCGTCGATATCGGTCCAGCCGTTCCAGAGATTACCCGGAACAAACAGGCAGACAGACAAAAATTGAAAAATATGTTATTTTGGCATATGTACCGTGTAAACATACATATGCATTTAGTAAAAAGCGGTTATTTTAATATTACAAACAGACACTCCAATTTTATTTATTTGTATAGATAGATAGATAAATAGAGTGAGAAAGAAATAGAGTTGAAGAGAGTTTTTTCTTTTTAATACCAACACCGTCCGATACTCAAGTACCAGGGCAGCATAATGGAAAAAGAATTGTTTGTTTAAAAACAAGTGTACTACAAAAAATTCTCATTACGTATTAATTAATGTATTTGGAGTGAGAAAGAAAAAGAGTTGAAGAGAGTTTTTTCTTTTTAAAACCAACACCGTCGGATACTCAAGTACCAGGGCAGCATAATATAAAAAGAGTTGTTTGTTGATAAATAAGTGAACTACAAAAAATCTCATTACGTAATTGGTATTTAGAGTGAGAAATAGAGTTGAAGAGAGTTTTTTCTTTTTAATACCAACACCGTCCGATACTCAAGTACCAGGGCAGTATAATATAAAAGAGTTTTTAAATATCGGTCCTCCTCTTTAAAGTTTCACTTCTATCGTGTGTGAATCGCACACAGACCTTTTTTTTTTTATAAAGTCTAAACCTTTTTCTTTAAAATAAAAACTTGTTTTTATTGAAAACAAAAATCAGAGTGTTGCTAGGGATAAGTATAAAATCAAATAGTAGTGTTAGGATATCGAAACATTTTCGTATAGGTTAGAACGATATAGTGGAAACGCGCTCTAAGATCTGAGTAATATACACACCACTACATATGCAAAAATTTCTCGAGACTAATTTCACTGTACGTAATTGGTATTGAGAGTGAGAAATAGAGTTTAATAGAGTTTTTTGTTTTTAAAACCAACACCGTCCGATATTCGAGTACCAGGGCATCATAATATATAAAGAGGTGTTACCTTATTCGTCGGCGCGAGTAATTCCGCGAGCCTGTCCAGTAGACTCTTGACGGCTGTAGTGGAGATATCACACTTGCTGATCACCGCGAAGAACGGAAGGTCCAGAGCTGATAGTAGACTTATATGTTCCTCTGTGATTGGTATGATGCCGGCTGTGGCCGAAATCTAGGTAGTAAGAAAGAAGGGATTTTTATTAGTGATGTGCCGGATCGTTAACAAAGTATATCCGCGGATACGGATCCGAATACGGATATTTGGTGTCAAGATCCGCGGATACGGATCTTAAGTTTCTTACTCAATCGGAGCCCGTGACCTTGATAGTTGTCGCCACTTGACGCTTTGCCGTTGATATTTAAATATTTCATTATTTTAATAAGCTAATGCAAAGATGTTTGATTGATCTCATTATAAAGATAGCTCTTTCAGTACCTACGACCTGCCAAGTTGATTTAGTATAGTACGATAAATGATTGCAATACAAAGGTGCCAAATATTTGTTTTAAGAAATAAAAAGTAATCTGAACAGAAGTCAATAGTGTTTCATAGCTACCTAATAACCATTATTCAGGGTTATTTTAAATTTACTGAAAACCTCTGAAGTGCATATTAGTAACATTATAAACAACAACTTTTCTTCTGGACTAACACCGAAAACGAAAGAAAAAAAATTGTTTCTCCATACAAACTAACAACATTTGATTGGTCATTTGAATGGAGGACCAATTTTTATTTTTATTTTGACGTTGGCCAGAAAAAAAGTTGCTGTTTATAGTGTTACAAACACATACCTAAGAGTTTTACAGTGAATACAAAATCACCTATATAGAATTTCATCTATGTAATATGTATTGAAAGATCCGCCAAAAAAGTCACGGATACGGATACGGTTACGGATCTCTCTTCTCCCTTGGATATCCGCGGATACGGATACGGATATCCGGCACATCACTAATTTTTATGGCGTTTTGTGTTTATTCCGTCTGGGTGCGTGGGTTTGGTTTCGGGTAGCCTCACTATTTGGTTATAATTGATACTGCACGGATGGCGTAGTGGTTTAATCAGTCGCCACGCCGCTTCCTACTGCGGTGAGTGTTGTGGGTTCAATCCCCACATGGGACGACACTCTGTGCGATCCACAAATTGTTGTTCTGAGTCTGGGTGTTCTTTGTGTCCGTTTCATGTATGTTTGTAAAGTCCCCCACGCCACAAAATATATTCCTAATGCAGTTGTTAAAAGAATATCTAAGATTATACTAAACTCACCACCAGCATCGCGTAATGCGGAGAATAACCAGTCAATCCGTGTAACGTGGTCCTCTGATACTTGCTGTGTCCGGCCAGATCCAAGAACGAGACCAGTTTAGCACTCCTCTCGCCTATCCTCTCTGCCGTCATCAGCTCTGAACATCCGTAATTTACAACATTACCCTGAAAAAGATTTCGAGTGGTTAGTGATTCTTACTGATAGGCCAGAGGTCGTGGGTTCGAATCCCACCTAGGACAGATAATTGTGTCATGAGCACGACCTTTTTTTCTATGTCTGGGTGTGATTTATCTATAATATGTATGTATGGGTATAGTAACATTGTACCTGTGCATCAAATCCAAGTATCTCATGGCTCAGAGAAGAAGTCCTCCCACTCTTGACTTCATGTAAATGTCGGAACATGTTTAAGCGGGCACTCCCTCGGCCGTTGTCAAGTTCACCTAAAATAAAACGGATGACACAAATGAGCATCTTTTTTCGGAGGGGGGGGGGGGGGGGGGGGCAAGCAGACGGCTTACCTGATGGTAATTGACCGCCGTCCAGGATCCCATCATCACTTTATGACTCACAGAACCAAGTAGAAATATTTACTATGAACATCTAAATTGGTCCTTCTTGAATAAGTAAAAAGTAACGACTGCACGGATGGCTTAGTGGTTTAAGCGGTCGCCACGCCGCTTCCTACTACGCCGAGTGTTGTGGGTTCAAACCCCACATGGGACGACACTTTGTGTGATCCACAAATTGTTGTTCTAAGTCTGGGTGTTCTTTGTGTCCGTTTCATGTATGTTTGTAAAGTCCCCCGCGACACAGGATATATTCCTAATGCGGGGAGTTGTCTTTTCAAAAAAGTAAAAGTAAAAAAAAAAAAAAAAACAAATAGACAGAAAGAGGGAGCGAACGAGACAGACAGACGAATGAGGGGGGGGGGGGGGGGGCCGCAGATGGGGTCTGGTGAGAAACTTTCTTCCAAACATCATTTAAAACGGTACAAACCTTGTGTCAGTACACCAATGAGGGTGGACTTGCCAGCTTCGTTGGCACCCATCACAGCCACTCGAAGCTCCACGCTCTGCTTGGGATCCGGTAACTGAAACGACACGTCATTATTTTAATTAACTTTTTAAAATCGACAGGTTTTACCCACCGTTTCGCTCATGTAAATTGACTTTAGTAGAATACATGTGTTTTGCCGCCGTTACCTCCCCTCAGAATTTAGGAGGGGGAGGGTTGGTCTCCCATATCCTCACTCATTCGTAAAAAGCGACTAAGGAATCGGTTAACGCCGGTTTTTTTTATGAGGCTGTGCTCAGCCGTCCTGATGTGACTCAGAAACAACTGACCAAGCCATACAAGCACAGCACACAGCAACACACAACGCCATCTAGTTTCAAACTAAGCAGAGCTTGTACTATGAAAGCTAGATTGACTGATAGAATACTTATATACTTTTTTTTTGTAAATACATAGAAAACACCCAAACTCGGAAACAACTATTTGCAGATCATAAAATCATCTGATCCGATCCAGGAATCGAACCAGAGATCTCAGCACAGCAGCCGCATACGCTACCAATGCACCATCGAGGCATATGTGTAACATCTGACACCTAACCTACCATCTAAAGGAAGACTCTATCACCGTGCGCTCATTGGTCAAATCAAATAGCGCGTGCTTCCCCTACTTCTAAGTCTCTTACCTAAGATACAAACAGGTTCCCTGCCTAGTTTAGGAAAGAGAGTCCTATGACTATTGTATATATGTTGTACTGGTTTTTGACGTGACAACGTCTTATAATTCGATGGAGCCGGCTGCACGCACGAAAAAACATGACTCATGCGGCGTTACCTCGCTCTTAGGCGTTCCATTTAAGGCGTGAAGTGCAAGCGAGAGCGCGGAACGAGTGACAAAGAAGCACAATCGGCCTCCGCGTTCGGCAGCGTTCGACATCTGTCTCTCTCCTACTTGAGTGAGCGATGCGTCCGCGTGGACAGCTGCTACTCGTATACAATAATACATTTTTGAAAAATGCAACCATTCCATCAGTATTTTCTTATGACGTTGTCACGTTCAACTATCGTCAGTAAACCGACTTTACAGACAACCGATTTTTTCTTGTAAATGTAAGTATTATAAGACAACACTGTATGCCATGTACAAATTACTTACTTCAATAAAAATTACTTACTTGAATTAAAAAAAAAACTTCCTGTTACATACTTCCGTCCCTTTTCACTAAATCACAATTTACAAAAACAAAGTACCAGGCGAGCAGTTCTGTGTAAGAGATGTCCATTACGGGCCTGTTGGTCTAGTGGTTAGTGACCCTGACTGCTAAGCCGCAGGTCGTGGGTTCGATTCCCACCCAGGACAAATAATTGTGTGATGAGCACGATCATTTGTTCTGTGTCTGGGTGTAATTTATCTATATTATGTATGTATTTAGAAATATATAAGTACTAGCGGACCCGACAGACGTTGTCCTGTCAAATTTGACACTGCGATGGTAGCGCCGTCTGTCTGATCCAATGTAAAACATTCCAAAATCAACAACTACTAATAAATTAAAAATTAATTAAAAAAACATTGTCCAGCGGACAAAATTGTGAATCTAAACCGTTCCCAGATCCCCTTGAACACACACAAAAAATTTCATCAAAATCGGTCCAGTCGTTTGAGAGAAGTTCAGTGACATACACACTCACAGAAGAATTATATATATAAAGATGTTTATTAGCAGTCTGATTACCATAGTACAGGCTCTGCCTAGTTTGGGATCAGACGGCCGTGTGTGAGATGTGTGAAATTATTATTATTATTACCTTCCTAATATTAACTTCAGCGACCGCCCGATGTGGCGCCACTCTCCGAGCGGTCACGTGCGTGAGCGTCGCTCCTATAGCATGCGCCATACGGCGTAGGGACACCAGCGAAGACCTTAGAGCTCTGGCTCTTAGCCCCACTAGGGCTCCGCAGTCTCGGACCCCCACTACGTAGACTGCGCTTCCACCTCCTGAACGGAGACGCCATTTTAACTGCGGAAATAACGGTTTTAATTTATTTTCAATAATATAATATTTTTGTCCGTGTAGTGACGGATTAAGAATGCGGAATGTCACTACCCCAATTCATCCCGTGGGTGTCGTAAGAGCCGACTAAGGGCGCAAAACAACGCAGGACACTAGCACTGCAAAAAGAAGGAAAACTTGATACAATCCCTATAGCAACCCGTCTGGCCAACGTGGTATAGTAGGCCAAAACCTCCTTTCTAAGGAGACGCTTATGTCCAGCAGTGGACTATTAAAGGCTGTTGATGTGTGTGATGAATATAATATTTTCGGACATTTGACATACAACGCCATCTAGTTTCAAACTAAGCAAAGCTTGTACTATGACAGCTGGATTGACTGATAGAATTCTTATATTTATATTATGCATAGAAAACACATAAACTGGGAAACAAATAATTGCAGATCATACAAACATTTGGTCCGACCCGGGAATCGAACCCGAGACCTCAGCACAGCAGTCGCAAACGCTACCTACTTCACCAACGAGGCAGTCAAATAAACAAATAGAGAATGTCATTACCCCTATTCATCCCGTGGGTGTCGTAAGAGCTGACTAAGGGAGCAAACTACGCAGGACAACAGCACTGCAAAGAGAAGGAAAACTTGAAACAAACCCTATACCAACCCGTCTGGCCAGCATGGTATAGTAGGCCAGGCAAGAAGAGGCCTATGTCCAGCAGGACTACTAAAGGCTGTTGATAATCATTGATTAAGGTCTACCTATCAATTTAAAGCCGTACCTGAGTGACTAGATGCTGAAACCTTCTTTCACAGAGGGAGACCAGCTGCAATTTGTACTCGACATTCCCGAATCGTGGTTCCGGCGGTAGGCTGCCGTACACCTCGTCCCCTGAGTCATCGGGCTCTGATGTTCTGTTAGGAATACATCAATTTCAAGAATCAATTTACAAACACTATTTAATTACCCTCCCTCTACTATTTGAACCCCTTTCTAAGGAGGGACCTATGTCCAGCAGTGGACTGTTATAGGCTGTTGATGATGATGATTTAGTAGGTTATAATGATTAAGAATGTATTAATCTATACAAATAAATAAAATTGAAGTGTCTGTTTGTAATATTAAAATAACCGCTTTTTACTAAATGCATATGTATGTTTACACGGTACATATGCCAAAATAAAAAAAATTACAAAAAAAAATCTGTCTGTCTGTTTGTTCCGGGTAATCTCTGGAACGGCTGGACCGATTTCGACGGGACTTTCACTGGCAGATAGCTGATGACATAAGGAGTTACTTGGGCGACTTCTTTTAGACTAGCTTTACCCCGCGGCGTTGCCCGGGGTTGTAACAACAAACGCGGGTAACAACGCGGGTCTCAGCTAATTTGATGTAAGAAAGATAACATTTTTTTTTTAATTTAATCTTATTTTTAACAGCAATGTGAAACACTGAAATTACTTTGTAGAAATATTGAGCATAAAAAGGTAATTTATGCTTATATTTGTTTAAGTAAGTGAGTTTGTTTGTTACGCTTTCACGCCTAAACCACTAAACCGATTTTATAAAATTTTTCACCAATGGAAAGCTACATTATCAGCGAGTAACATAGGCAAGGCTTTTTAACGCGATAGCTGACATACACGCAAGCGGAACCGTTGGCAATAGCTAGTAATTAATAAAGCACACTAAAAAAATCATATTCTGATTTCCACACCTCTTTACATGTTACATATACTATTTCATGGAGTGGCAACACATGCTGTAGCAACGCGTCGCCACGCCAACAGCCGGTCTGACCCTCCGCATTAAACGTTTCTCACAAAAAGCTGGATAGAACTAAAATTATTTCTACTACTCTTCTGCTTAACCCTTCGAGGTTATAGCCGTGAGTATGTCCATGTATGTAGTATGTCGTATGTCCGTGTGGTGACGGATTGAGAATACAGAGTGTCACCGCCCCTATTCATCCCGTGGGTGTCGTAAGAGGCGACTAAGGAAGCAAAATACGCAGGACAACAGCACTGCAGAGAGAAGGAAAACTATACACAAACCCTATACCAACCCGTCTGGCCAGCGTGGTATAGTAGGCCAAAACCTCCTTCCTAAGGAGAGGCCTATGTCCAGCAGTGGACTATTAAAGGTTGTTGATGATGATGTCCATGTATATGAAGGAAATATACTTACGAATCATCAAGGTATTCCTCCATATCATCAGAGCTATAGAACACGTCATTCTCCAGTTCGTTTGTATCAAAATCACCAGCCAAATACATGTCATCTTTTAGAATAACCTTCTCCAATTTCTCTATAACATTATAAACATCTCTATCACGGAATGTGATGTCGTTCCTCAAATTCTTCATTTTCTTCAAATCATTGACGTTTTTGCCAATATTATCGTCACAAATTTTTGGTATTGCCGACTGGTTGTTCCAATTTGGCTCGGTTTCGGTATCTGGTGTCCACGTCGGACTGGGTACGTCTTTAGGTGGAGATATTTTGTTCTTTTTTCTGCGTGTTTTACGACTGGAGTTACGCCGTTTTGGTTTTTGATTCAAATCGTTTTTATCTGAAACAATAGGTTGGTATTTTATTTAACTCCGTTTGAGATGCAATCTAAAAATATTATATTGAGCTTAATCAAAAAGCAGTCGGAAAATTTAAGTCGGAATTACTTTTGAATCCAAAAAATAAATGGTTAAATTCAAGTTTCATGAAATAGTAACCGCCATGTTTTTACTTCATACGGCTGTGTAAACAAAAAAGCCGTGTGGTGTCGTGGGACACCCGATAGGAACGAAGTTGTGACGATCGAGTAAAACTGATTTGACACGATTTTAATTACAACGCCATCTATGAAAGCGGCTATTACCTACATATTAAAAACAATTAAAACAATTTATACATTGGTAAAATCTCCTTGCGAAATGATTTCCTATCTATTCGATAGATGGCGCTGAATGTCTGACAAGATGACACGAAAATAAAGAGCAAAAAGCCAACATCACGTGGTATTCCCAGGCGGTCACCCATCCAAGTACTAACCACGCCCGATGTTGCTTAACTTCGGTGATCGGACGAGAACCGGTGTATTCAACATGGTATGGACGTTGGCGAACGTTAAAGCAAATTTAATGTATGGTATCCACAGTTAGACGTCAATTTATATTAATAAAAAAGTGTCGTTCCAAATTTTCGTACGAATTTTTTCCGTCTAGCCCCCTTTCACAACGCGCGTTCGGTTAAGTCCTCAATTACTCCATTGTTTTACACTAGTATTCTTTCATTTAGCATACAATTGAATCAATTTATTCTTCATACGGCTTTCCTTAATTTTAGCTAAAAGTCATACTTCAAAGAAAAAAAACTGAGCCTTGCAGATATTAAGCATCGAAATTATTTTATAGAAATAATTTGTATAAAATAATTTTGTAATTAGCCTAAGAGAGTCACTTCGATATGGCGTCCCGTTGCCACACCGCATTAGATGTTACATATATACTAACACAAAGTGCGGCGACGCAGCCGTGGCAACGCGTCGCCACGCCTACAGGCGGTCTGACCCTCCACATGGTTCCATAAATTTTAGAGCTAACATAGCACAGAAAGACATACGTTACATGTTTTCTTTGAAAGAGATACATCATTAGGAATATATCCAGTATCGCGAGGGACTATACAAACATACATAAAACGGACAAAGACCTCACCATCTTCTTTCATATTGATTTCAATAAAGTTCTCTATATAGCTGACATCTTTAACTAACAAATCCGTACTGAGATCTGGTTCGCAGAGGAAAGAAGACTCTTCTGGCAGTGTCTCGTTCTTTCCGTTTGACTTGCGCCCTCTTCTGCGTCCTGAAATAAAAATGAATGTCAGACAATAAATTCAAATTCTCGATTTCTGGGGGGAAGGCTGGTAGGCGCAAGAATTATTTTTCAGATCAGACAAGGTACCAGGATCAGGATGCTAAGTGTCTACCACCGTCCATAGACAACAGAAAATCAAGTCACAAGTAGGTATTCGCCCTTTGACTCCCTCCCCAAGAATCAGAGGTGTGGGTTGTTTCCCAGGGACTCCCACTTCGGTATAATGTCCAAGAATTTCCCAACACCGCCACCACAGACTGCGATATGATCACCCATGGTACTGTTTCTTGATATATTTCTAGATCGTGCAATGCTTTTTGAACCTGCAATAAGGGATTTCTATCTTACCTTTGGCAACTTCTGGTTTCTTCTTGACGGTATCCTGTTCCGGTTTGTGCTTTTTATGTTTTTGCTTGTTCTGATTACCTTCTGAAGGGTCGAAAAGACTGAAGAACGAGTCCATGGTCCTGTAACAAAAAATAAACATAAAACTTAAAACAAAAATTTTGAGAAGAAGTTCACGTGTGTTTTGGGGATCCCTGGTTAAGATCAGATAGAGACTCTTCGAAGAGTAAGGCTAGAGGTAAGGTTGCAGCGTCTGTGTCAATTGCAATCCCGAAATAACTACATATCATCATCAACAGCCTTTACTAGTCCACTGTTGGACATACGCCTCTCCTTAGAAAGGAGGTTTTAGCCTACTACACCACGCTGGCCAGACGGGTTGGTATTGGGTTTGTGTCAAATTTTGTTCTGCGTAGTTTGCTCCCTTAGTCTACTCTTACGACACTTAGGGGATGAATAGGGGTGGTGACACTCTGTATTTTTAATCCGTCACCACACGAACGGAATAACTACATGCATAATCTTGGGATAGCCATGCTTCGGCATGCAAAGGCCAGGCTGGACCGGAGTGTTACTATAGAGTTCATCATTTTTTTTTTTTTTATTGGAACAAAAAACAGTTATAACTAAATACAATTCATATACCAAATTTATAAACATCTGATCCACAAAATTGTTTACAGATTAACAAAAATAATAGTACATCATTAGCAGCCTATCGCAGTTCACTGCTGAACATAGGCCTCTCCCATTGCACGCCACTAAGATCGATTTTTGGTTTCACGCATCCAGCTCCTGCCAGCCATCTTGCGCAGATCGTCACTGCACCTGGCCTGTGGGCGTGACGCGGTCTCCACTCAAGAACTCGTTTACTCCAACGGCTGTTGGTTCTGCGGCTACTATGGCCAGCCCACTGCCACTTCACTATCAAGTTGTGTAGATGTTTTTATTATTTTTGACTGGCCTGTTGGTCTAGTGGTTAGTAACCCTGACTGTTGACTGAGGTTGTGGGTTAAATTCCCAGCCAGGACAAATAATTGTGTGATGAGCACGGTCATTTGTTCTGTGTCTGGGTGTAATTTATCTATAATATGTATGTATTTAGAAATATTTAAGTATGTTTATCAGCGGTCTGGTTACCATAGTACAGGCTCTGCCTAGTTTGGGATCAGACGGCCGTGTGTGAGATGTGTTAAATATTATATTATTTTTATTATTTTATCCTACCTACTAAATATTTGCATGCTATTTAATGGCGAAATGTGTTCTGTTGTCATTACTTAATCTACCTAACAACTTGTGTACTACATTTTATACAAATTAACTTATTATTATTACATTTAGTTATAGCTGTTTTGTAGTGCGACTCTCTATCTCTCTCTCTCTCTCTCTATCATATACATAAATGATCTCAGATTATTTAATTAAGCAATGTGTGGCAACCCTTTTTTTTTCCTTGCGGAAATCCCCTCGGATACCACCCATCGGTGGCATGTCGGACTCAAACCGACTAAAACCGCACGCCGTCTCGGGTACTAATTTAGTGATGTGCCGGATATCCGTATCCGTATCCGCGGATATGCAAGGGAGAAGAGAGATCCGTAACCGTATCCGTGACTTTTTTGGCGGATCTTTCAATACATAGATGAAATTCTATATAGGTGATTTTGTATTCACTGTAAAACTCTTAGGTATGTGTTTGTAACACTATAAACAGCAACTTTTTTTCTGGCCAACGTCAAAATGAAAAAAAAATTGGTCCTCCATTCAAATGACCAATCAAATGTTGTTGGTTTGTATGGAGAAACAATTTTTTTTCTTTCGTTTTCGGTGTTAGTCCAGAAGAAAAGTTGTTGTTTATAATGTTACTAATATGCACTTCAGAGGTTTTCAGTCAATTTAAAATAACCCTGAATAATGGTTATTAGGTAGCTATGAAAAACTATTGAATTCTGTTCAGATTACTTTTTATTTCTTAAAACAAATATTTGGCACCTTTGTATTGCAATCATTTATCGTACTATACTAAATCAACTAGGCAGGTCGTAGGTACTGAAAGAGCTATCTTTATAATGAGATCAATCAAACATCTTTGTATTAGCTTATTAAAATAATGAAATATTTAAATATCAACGGCAAAGCCTCAAAGTGGCGATGTTGTCGCGGTCAAGGTCACGGGCTTCGATTGAGTAAGAAACTTAAGATCCGTATCCGTATCCGTATCTTGACACCAAATATCCGTATTCGAATCCGTATCCGCGGATATACTTTGTTAACGATCCGGCACATCACTAGTACTAATAGCCGGGGAACCAGGTATACCCTAGAAAGGAAGTCCCTGGTGAATGTGTGGCAACCCTAGCGGAATTTATTTCATGAGGTCGTTGACTCTTCTCGTTTTATCGTTATTTGACCCAGTTACCAATTAAGAAATGCTATTTTTACTACAAGCATAATTTCTAGAGGTATTCGGTGAAAGCACGATACTAAACTTGAATTACAAATAAACATCTATAAATAAAAAAAATTATAAAGTTGGTTTGGTCTATGGTCCCTATTAGGTGTATAAAAATCAAGGTCCTGAGTCAACATGATAAAAAGATATGAGCAAATTTTGATTGAAAACTTGTAAGTACCAAAATTTACCTTAATTTTCAACTATTTTTATTGTTTAGAATTTTTTTTACTTGTGCTGTAAGACCTTGCTTTTAACCAAAATTGACAATTCTAGGTCAACCGGAAGTACCCTATAGGTTTTGGGTCGAAAACCTATATGGTAGTTCCCGTTAACCTAGAATCAAAATCGAAATTTCCTCGAAATTTGACAAAAAGCAACGTCTTACAGCACAAATAAAAGAATAATTCAAAAAAATAAAAAAGTTGAAAATTACGATTAATTTTGGTACTTTTTGCGAAAATCTAAGTAAAATCTGGGTAGGTACAGAATCCTCGGCGCATGCGTTCGACTCGTACCTAACCGGTTTTTATTTTTAACCGACTTCAAAAAAAGGAGGAGGTTCTCAATTCGACTGTATTTTTTTTTTTTTTTTTAATCTTTTAACACCATGAAATAGTAGCCGCCATGTTTTTACGTCATACGGCTGTGTAAACAAAAATGTACACATAATTACTAGAGGTATTCAGTAGAAGCACAATACTGACTCTCTTTCTAAACTTGAATTACAAATAAATATATACATATAAATAAACAAAAATATTAAGCTGGTTTGTGTACTGTTCAAAAACTCAAAAAGTTATGCACTGATTGATCTCAAATTTTGACACGATATGTAACAAGCTTTAAATATAGTTTTTGGATATTTTCTGTAACCAAAATGTGCCACAGAGACGCGTAGCAGGGTACACCATGTTTTGTATAAAGGTATTGACATCTCATAAGGAGACCTATCAGATTCGTCAACAACCTTTAACAGTCCACTGCTAGACATAAGCCTCTCCTCAGAAAAGGAGGTTTTGGCCTACTTTACAACGCTGGCAGTTTTCCTTCTCTTTGCAGTGCTGTTGTTATGCAGAGTTTGCTCTCTTAGTCGGCTCTTACGACACCCACGGGACGTATAGGGGTGGTTACTCTCTCTATTCTTAATCCGTCACCACACGGAATACCTATCAGGTTATATGCTCCCTATTATTTATGCTATAGGTGGGCAAATATGCAGACGGGTCACCCTCACCTGATGTTAAGAGACTACTACACGTAACGTACCATTTTGACGTATTGTGAAGGAACTAATTCGGCTTGTAAGTCATCTGACGTTTTGCTGTGACTACTAAAACGTAACAATCTATAATCTTCGCGCATATTATTGTTACTGGTAGCCGTCACTGTTCGTAATATTTATGAATGTTTAAAACTGTTTTATAATAGCAGTAATAAATAGTTACAGACAATGATATATACAAACAAAAGGTAGATACGCCACCAACACCTTGGGTCCTAATTAGGACCACTGCGAGCGAGCGCAAGTACTCTTTAATTCGAGAAAATGTTTAAAATAATAATACACTTAACGTATCTTCCTTAAAATATCATTGATTACAGATAATAATAATATTACTCTTGTAGGAGCATAGATAAATAAGCATAGACAGAATACGGGGTACAGTTGCCTGTAAGTGGAAGCGATACAGGCAACGAGAGAGATGAATGCCCGATAGTTCCCTCTGTCTTTGTTTAGCTAAGCTTGGCTTGGCTGCTATCGTGAAGTGGGCATGGTTTTTAGAACTTGCCCCATTCAACTATAGAGCTCGACTAGAAAGAGATAGAGGGAACTATCTATTATCCATCTCTCTCGTTGCCTATACTGTAAGATTAGGGCTTCTATTCACTTCATGCTTATATCTTTATTTGTGGGAGTCATGATTCAGCACATATGACACCAGGGCCTCCCGGCAAACCTGTGTTAAGCACTGAGGTTCCTGGAGTCCAAACTACTCCTACCCTCCTTGGGAGGGGGCGGAGGTTGCAAGTGTATACTTCTATCAACAAATAACCTCACACATCTCACATACGGCCGTCTGATCTCAAACTAGACAGAGCCTGTATTACGGTGACCAGACTGCTGATAAACACACTTATAAATTTCTAAATACATACATACTAGATATAAAATACACCCAGACACAAAAAAAAGTGATGGTTTCGGTTTTTTTGTAGAATAAGTGAGTAATTAATTTTAATATTTAAAAAGTACTTGCAAATCGTGTTGTGCAAAGAAAACGCATTTTTACTATTAATAAATATAAATTTCCATACTCGCGCCATAAATCAGCTGATGTTCTATTTTTAAAGTTTCCCAGATCGAAGGTTTAAAAATAGCTTCTATCACTGCCATGTTTATTTTTTATTTAAGTTGGCAATAGTTTCAAAGATAATTGGCGGGAATTTGGCTACGTTGTAACATTTATACAACAGATAGGTGCCAAATTCTTATGAAAATGCTTATAACTTTGTATTTTATTACTGTATTTACTTTGGGTTTTGTAAATAAGAACATATTAAGGTATAGTAGAGATCGTTTAGCGGTCAAATTTCGACCAGTTTTAATGTATGTTTTATAGCGTTGACTACTATAACTTGATCTGTCGTTGTTTAGACTT